AGGAAGAGTGTGCTCTGCAAGCTCCCCCCGCTTGTCCCGCACATCGTCAACTGTCAGAGAGAAAAACAAAGTGCTGTGATGCGTTTGAATGTGTGTGTAACTGCCAGAACTCCACACACACCTGCCCTGCTGGGTTCATCACTTCCTCTGCTACCAACGACTGCGGCTGCACAGAAACCAGCTGCCTGCCGGACAAGGTGTGTGAAGAGCAGTGGTGGAGGTCTCGAGGAATCTGAAGTATTCAAGTAAAAGTATTCCCCTGTGACTGCTGTACTATCATTAGGGTTATTATAGATGAACAAATGTATAACCAGGGTTTGAATGCTGTAGCTGGTTAAGGTAGATGTCATCTTAAAGGAATGCAAATTATTATTATTTTCATGAATATCTTTTTCTTTTTGATTAATCTCCTGATTATTTTCTCTTTTACTGTTTGTCAAAATGAAGATATTAGTGAGAAATACGATAACAATCACACAGAGCCCCAATTGACTCCTTTGTGCTCATCCATCAGCACAAAATTACCGGAATTATTTTTGCGTGTTCTGTATGCCAATTAATATTTATGTATATTAATGTAATATTTGCTTCCTAAATGTAATTGAGTAAAAGTAGAAAGAGGCATGATAAGGAAGACTCCTGACATTTCTAAATAAAAAAACAGGCCTTGTTTAGATGTAGTTAGTTACATATTGTGTTTGTCAACATGCATCGGTTCCTATTTCTGTGCTGTTACTGTTGAACCTATCCTGTTTTATCATCATGTGTCTCTCCAGGTATGCGTGGTTGGTTCCGTGGTCCACCCAGTGGGGAGTGATTGGGAGGAAGGATGTGAGAAGTGCAGTTGTACCCAGCTACAGGACAAAGACACATCACTGCACATTGCTCAGTGTACACCGCCTGTGTGTGATCGAAACTGCCCTCAGGTGGGACACACACATATCAAACATTCACATTTGCTTTATGCTTCTATACCTTTATCGTAACTCATATATGTGTATTGTGTATTTCAGGGCTCCACGTACACTCCATCAAATGGAGAGTGCTGTGGGAAGTGCACACCGAGCAGCTGTGTGGAGTCAGCGGGGGAGATGCGAGGGGACAATCTGTTCGGGGAAAACCTCAGACATGTATGTGTGCAGAGAAATCACACACGCCTGAATAATATAGGAAACCAATTAATTCTAATGTTTGTTTTTTGTGTAATTGTCAATGCACGCTTTGTAGGGTGTTAAGTGTAGAATTTCATTTACAGCTGACTGTTTGGATGTTTTAAAGAGGGGCTGTAGTACCTATCCATAGTCAATGTATTACACAAAGTAGATGGGCATCTGCATGATGCGAGTTTTGAAAAAAAAGACACCAAATAGGGGGTGGCTGACCACCTTTACAAGATCCAAACATTCTCTCTAAGAAGCATTTAAATAAATGGGGGAATATATTTCTTGCTCTATGTACAGATAAATTCGACACTTCTGCATATTCCCTTTTATCAAATATCTGTGTCTGTTTATAGGTGGGAGAGGTATGGCAGTCTCCACATGAAAAATGTGTGTTACATCAGTGTGTGAAAGTAAAAGACGAGGTGTTCATCTCTGCAACAAACGTCAGCTGCTCTGCTATGGACACTCCTTCCTGCCCGCTGGGAACAGAGTTACGCTGCGACATCGAAGATTGCTGCCCCCGCTGCCATTGCGGTAAACTCACATTCATAAACATAATTTAAAAAAGGACTCAGACACACCATTTGGTAAAGCAGGGTGGCATTATGAGTTAGGAGACTGACCTTCCACGAGCATGCATTATTTCATTTTCCTGAATCATCATGCTGTCACTCATACACTTTACTGAGGTGCAGATGCAAGGTCTGTCCAGCAGGTGACACTCTCACACTGGTGTCATCCCAGAGCCTGTTACCATTACCTGTCCTTAATATGAATGGCAAATGTATTTATTTGTGCTTTTCTCTTTACAGCTCCAATGAATGCTTGTGTCCTGAACAACACTGTGATAGGAGTAAGTCATGTGCACAAGAAAAGCACTCTTTTTCATATAAGAGCCTTTAAAATAGTTCCTTCACTGCTCCATGTGTGTGTGTTTGTGCAGGCAGGAGAGAAGCTGATGATGGACGTGTGTACACAATGCGAGTGTACGGTGGAGGATGGTGCCGTGAGGAAATACCGGCTGTCCTGCAGGAGTATGAGTTGTCCCACTTGCCCCATGGTAACCAACATCCCGTCATTATTTTGTATTATCACCCTTATCCTTTGTCATCATAATTATTTTCATGACTAACCATTCAAATCAAACGTCCATCATTTCCATCAAAGATCCTTTAATCCACTGACCACATTCCCTCTCTACTCATCAACACATTTTAAACTCATATTTTTCTATGATTCACTCCATTCACAGAGGTAAGTAGAGAACTGTTTATTTGAAAAGAATTGCCGTAAAAAAATGCCTATATAAAGGCCATATTAATCAAATTGTTTTCAGGGATACACTCTTCAAAAGGAGGAAAATGCTTGCTGTGGTCGATGTGTTCCCACTGCCTGCTTCATGCAAGGGCCGGATGGAAATCTGATCAGTCTGCAGGTAGGTGCTCAGCAGCAAAGGACATGCCTGGATCATTAACTGACACTTAAACAAATTGAATTCAAATAATAATGTTTATGTTGAAAGCAGCAGAAATAACACATTGTAAAATGTACTGATTCTGCAACAAGGCTGTAAAATAATAAATGTTGTATACTATATCATACAACTGCATACTGCAATACACTATACTATGTTATACCATACTAACTAGCGCTAGACTGCACTATGTTATATTAAACCACAATTAACTACACTTTCTTTAATCAATAGAGTAGTGCCACTAAAATAAGATATGATATAGTAAAAGTTGGTTTGGCATCAGATTAGAGATATTTTGTCTTCAGCTGTTTGCTTTGGTACATTTCAAATGGCGAGAATTGCTTTTCAGCAGCATGCATAAAAACTGTATTTGTATGTGTGTGCATGTCTCTCTTCAGGTGAACACCACTAGCGAGGACGGTTGCAACCTGTATACCTGTGGTGTGAACAGTAAAGGGGATCTTGTCCTGCAAACCAAAATTACCACCTGCCCTCCTTTCAACCGCCAGACGTGCCTCGACCAGGGGGTACGATGCTACACAAAATGCCCATACATACTGACATCTACACTTACATCTCTGTTAAATGTTTCTCTCCTGTGTGATTTCAGGGGAAAGTCAGTCAGATTGGAACAACCTGCTGTGAAATGTGTAAGTAGAACTGTGACCTTTGCAAGATTGGTACAGTGTTTAAAAAAATGTGAACACTGTGATTTTAATAAGAGTGTGTGCATATGTGAAGGTACGGAGCCAGAGTGCCGTAGGACAGCAGGAACGCTAAACAACATCAAAGTGGATGACTGCCAGTCAGAGCACCAAATAGAATTGCATTACTGTGAGGTAAGAGACTACACACACACACACACACACACACACACACACACACACACACACACACACACACACACACACACACACGCACACACACACACACACACACACACAGGGTGATTATTACTTCCCATCCCCTAGGATTAGCCTGCAGAGTTCAATGAAATCGTTCTTTAACACTGTCCCTCCATCCCACCCTCCTCTCTCACCCCGTGCTGTCTGTCCATCTGTCCGTCCGTCCATCAGGGCAAATGTCGCAGTAAGTCCATGTACTCCCTGGAGAGCGCTGCAGTGGAGCAGGAGTGTGTGTGCTGTGCTGCTGTGGAGACGGAGCCTCTCGATGTTCCCCTGCTCTGTGCCAATGGCACCCGCAGCCACCAGACTGTCCTGTCTGTCACTGCGTGTGACTGTCTGTCCAAACACTGCACCTAGAGAGGAAGGAGAGGAGGGATAAGTGAGTTATAAGGTTATAAATGTAAACGGATTGTGTATATCCACATCAAATGTACCCACATACAATGATAAGAGCAACAATAACAATAAAACAAACTTGCCAATTTCCATGAGCCCTTTTTGTCTGTGTTTGTTGATATCTACACACTGGAGATTGATATCTGTTTAGATGTTTGAATAATTCAAAAATGATATAGATTCTTATAAAGATGTAATGCTTTTTCATACCTAGATCTTGCAATATCAATCAATCATTCAATAAAATAATGAATCTTTGCAGCCCTTTGTGAGCAAATAACTTATTTTTGAGGCGTGTCTGTAGAGGGTATACAAGGTTCACTTTTAAGTCTTCACCTGTAAGTTCTTTCTTCCCGCTCTGGATTTCTGAGAAGCTTTTGTTTTTGTATGACCTTAAATTGAATATGTTTGGGTATTGGACTGTTGCTCCAACAAAACAAGCTTCTCTTTGTTTATTGTCTTGATCTTTTAATAGATGGACCGTACAAATGATAAATCAATTCACTGGCATGAGAAAAAATGGCTACTTAAGAAAACTGTGTAATAAGCTTCCTTAATGGGGAAAGCAGAATTTCCTTGAAACAGCTTTCATTGATTTTGAAATCATTATTCCAACACTTTCTCCTAATAATTGCTGAATGTTAGGCTTGCCTGTTGAGAGATTACATTGTTTCATTTTAATCTTAACCCTTGTGCTCATACCAAATATTATTTTGCTAAGTGAAAATAAGTAGTTTGAGGGTACCCACTGAAAGAATCAACAGATTGCTCAATAAGGTAAATAATCAGTTGCATCCCTTCTTGGATTTGTTTTGCTCACTGATCATACTTTCTTCCGGTACAACAAGTCCAAAAGAAAAAAAGACTACAATACACACACACACACACACACACACACACACACACACACACACCTCTTGCATTGGTAACTCTAATGTATCAGAGCTTCTTTCTCTCGCGTTCGAAACGGTCAGGGAATTAGCTGCCCTGTGCGCGCGCGCGCTTTAAGCCACGGGTCCGGGATCGCGCGAGGATTGTCTCTACCATCTCAGCTTCTCGTCAGGCTGCGCACCTCGCGCGTCTTAGCATCCATCTCCATAGCGAAGCACTGATCCTCCACGAGCACTGGTGAGTCCACGTTATTCTTTTCTTGAATGTAAAGTAAGTGTGATTTAAAAAAAAAAAAACGACATTTTACATATTTTACTCTGTCATTTATTTGCCCTGCTGTCGGGTTGAAAGTGTCTTTTTGCACTTTGACACTTAATAATTGGAATTATAGCTGCTTGTGTGGACGTTAGGATTACTCCATAAACAAAGCTTCCCCTGTTTAGTGTTGAAATCCCCCGATAGCTGTAGGGTCGCGTGCCAGGGGCTGTTTTGTTTTTTTACCTCTGACCATCTGGGTGCACACAACTGTTGTGTCCATGAACGATTAATTAAACACATATCGAGTAAACAACTCCTGGAAATGCTTGAGGATTAATTAGTCAAAATGGAATTTAATTAGTTTATTGTATGCTGTTTTTTAAATACAAATGTACAGGCAGGTGTACCGGTTAAAGTAAAACTCACTGAAAGTAGCCTACAGGTGATTTGCACTTGTATTTAATGTATCACTTTAAGCTAAAGTCTTTGTTAGTTTTAAAACTGTATGTTTCCTTTGATGGCATTAGAAAGGAATGATTTAGATGTTAAAATTAGCAAAGAGTAATCTGCTGTATCCGGACAGGCCCTATTAGACCTTTCGCCTGTTGCCCTTTGCCTGGTTCTTTAGGGTGAGGGTGCAGCTGGCTCTCCTGCCTGTCAGAGAGCTTACGAGCCTTTAAACCCCGAGCAGAGACACTCTTGGATGCATTTGCGCATTCCTCTTGTGCCGTCTCTATAGTGCAGAAACGATATACAATTATAACTAATGCCTAATACTCAGGCATTAGTTATAATACCTATGAAGGAAACTAATAAGAACATCTTATAAAGCAAAATATGATCCATTTTGATGTCCGGTAAAGTTCTATCTGCAAGGAGTGTTTTTGGAAAAATTAAATGCCCCTAATATTTTAAACTAAAATGTTTTCTTGCATTGCAAATAATGACAACATTTTGAAATTCATTATTTAATTGGTTTATTACACTTTAATGATAATTGTCTCCTTTCTTTAGGTAGATCTATCACTTTATTTGACAGAGTAAACTTGTTTTTGATAGTTAGACATTAATGTAAAGATATATCATGCCCAAAGAACAGCATAAAAACGTTTGACAAATATCATGAAGGAGTAAAACAACAGTCACAGACACAGTTTTCCATATGGAGAGTGAATAGTAAAAAATAGGAAATAAAATCTACAAGGCATGGTAGTCTATCTCTGATGTTCTGGTTAATTGATGCTTAATTAAAGTCTGAATGAAATGTGCATTTATTTTTGATTCACAACTTGAGCTGTGTAAGCATTCTTTGAGACAGCATGAAAATCAGCCATTACAGGAAAGGTATGACATTATAGGCAAAGTGACAAATGCACCACGCGTTGAGAATCTTGCTAACAACATATGAGCTCAACAAACTCAGACCTCTATGTTTCTCCAAACACAACCAGTGTACTCGTACTTATTCTGTACAGATATGACTTTAAAACACATCGATGACACTCTCATCATGGGATGCAACATAAATCTGACTAAGAGATATGAGGACCAAAATGCATATTTGTGTGCACAGAATATAACAGTTTTCCAAATGTGTGTTCCTTTATTTCTTAATAACTGATATTTCACCTCCTCAGTCCTTTACAATACTTTAAAAAAGTCTCATAAGGAAAAGTAATTATTTTGTCTATTTGTTCACCAGTCATGTTCACAACAATTAAATGTAAAAGACGGAAAAATAGAGCTTTAAACGTAACTTGGTGTTAATGAAATGTTTATGTGTACATTGGATAGTGTCCATACTCAATATTGTCAGCATTTTACATTCTTTCTGTTTTCATTTATTGTCTGGATGTGCATGCCTGATAGATTGCAAATTGTCATAATTTGTTTTATGATGGTTAGGTCAAAGGTTTCAGCAACCGCTGACCTAAATATCACTGTTTCAAGATGGATTAATTGTTACATAATCCCCTTTTGACCTGCTGAACCCTAAGAGATATATTCTCCCTTTCCATCTTTGCTCTGTGTTTGCCCACACATTGTAAAGTGGGATAATCAGGGATGTGGGGGGGGTTGTAAGGAGATTGACGCTTGAAGCACTCTATATGTACGCTGATCAGTTGACTGTTGGTGTAATTGTTTGTCTCATGGCTCTTGAGCGGATAGTTTTAAACTTAGCATGGGACAGCTACTGAATGCAACCCCCTTTCTCTTTCACCCACAATAAAACCTAATGATTGAATCTGTATGGCATTTTGACCAACAACATGTGTCTAGATTAGATGTAAAGGCTCAAATATTGTATGTGTATATTTCCCATCTTACAACCTGATCAGTTAAACGACCCAAACTGTATGATCACTTAAATTGACACAAGTGCATTCAAAAATGTTTAATTTAAACATTGCAGTATACATTTCCATTCCTTGTTGTGTGTAAAAGTTTTGAATTTCAAACAGAATTAACAGTAACAGATAGGGGTGTGAAATATGGAGTAAAAGTCACAGATAGATTCATTTGAACAACAACACAAGATGACAGCAAAATGTGAAAGATGTATCTTGTTTATAAGAGTATGTGTATTAGGGAACAGATGTATTATTTCATTACCTAGAGCTCAATTAATGTCACAATACTCCGCCAAAAATAAATGAATGTGCTTCCGAGTTGTGGTGTCACATGCAGAACACGCACAGCTAGGGCACCAAACTATCTATATAACAAAAGGCTCATTGTAATTAAATTAAATCCATTAAAACTATGCTTCCTGGTAACAGTAGTCTTATCCATTTAGCTGTTTCCAAACTTGGAACAGTTGAGAAAGTGAATGGCACATTTTAGGGTGATTAATAGTGTTATTTTTTGCTCTTAAAAACACTTGTTTGATATTTTATGTCTGTGGATTCTAGCCCTGGCATACCCATGTGCTTCTGTTAGTGTGAGACTTAACTTCTTGGTTTCTCTTTAACACTTCCGTTTTCCGGAGAATGAGCCTAGTGACCAAATTACCTCAACAGATTGTAAACTGTGCCGCTTGGATTGCAGGGTGAGCTTAATCTGAGCCTACAGCTTCAATTGGGTAAAAAACAGAGGAGACAGCTTAACTTTGACTTACTTTGCCAGTCTGTAGCAGCTACTACTGTGATGTTTTTCAAACACAATACTAAAAAGTCAAATTGACCTACGCTATAAAATGTATATTTCTGTCTCGACATAAACAATCAAAATCAGAGGTCCTTATCATAGCTTCATAAAAAAAGAAACCCTGTTCATTCAAAGGAATACGCATCCTAAAATAAGACATGAAAAGAAATGGAAGCAGATTCCTATCAACAGAAAACACAACTAAATAAAAAATAATTACCAATAAGTAAAACATTGGGTTTCCATTTTTTCCCCAATATGACATTGATGGGCTACACAATAAAGTAAAATGCATACAATCAGTGACTATGGTTTCAGTAAGACACACTTCACTTTAAAAGGTCACAAAAAGTGAAGGCACCATTGTGTTTTAATAATATAATCTAGCTGGGAGTAATGGTGCCTGCATTAATGGATTATTTCTTTCCATTAACAGACACAGAACTGGTGATTGTCCCAATTTCTGAATACTGAATTCTTGTTTTTCTGTTCATGTACCGACAGTGATGAAACGGAAAAGAACGTGTGCCTGTCACCACAGAAATGAGTGAGCGGTCTTCCAGTCACTCAGTGAAGCTTGTGTCCTTGGCCCAATCACTGTCCCAGCTTGGGTTTGAGGCCGCCAATGGAAGCCCCGTCAGCCCCCCCGACGATGACGAGCCCCCTCCTCCGGTATGGACTTCTATGAATTTAACCTGTTAAGCCCGAGAGACCCCGGTACCGGGGCCCTCCCGCAACATCTTGCAGGAAACAATGTCTGAGGGCATGTTCATTTAATAAACTATGAATGTTTTATATCCATGTAACGGGAAGAAACTCATCTAACTGATAATATTTTTTTTTTTTTTTTTTTTAAAACCACAATGCTAACGCTCAGCCTCTGAATTAGCAACGAGCGAAAAATGCTAACAGATTAATGCACCGAAATTCACTCATAAAACCTTATTATTTATCTTTTCTGCACATCCAACACATCGATCTGATCGTGAGATGACAGAATCGATGGGTACATACGTTATCACTCTATGATACGAACTTGCGACTTTATAAACAAAAACACACATCAAAACATGTGGCGCTAGGTAGCTAAAAACGCTAACATGGTTTACCTGTGTCGTAGTCTGGTCAAAAGTGGTCTTCAATGGCATTAAAACGATAAAAACGCTGCTGAAGTTAATCCATAGGTTAATCCAATGTGTCTGTGTCCCTTTGAAATGATTTCTGATAATCCATAAGCATTAAAACTGCTTTTCCGTTTCCAGATGTCAAAGCTAGAGATAGGTTCGCTCTGATGCAAAACTGCATGCGCGAAGCCCCCACATTTTTTTCTTACCATGTGTGTGAGTGGGGAAATTCCCCTTCGATTCTATTGGCTCTAACGGTCAGAAAGAGATGTCAATCACCAAAATCGACCAATGGGTTCCAGAGAAACGGTAAAACCCCCATTTCCACCCAAATCACCTCAGAGGTGGAGTTGTTTTTGCTAAACCTCTCTAAAAAGGTCAAATGTCACTTGTTTTGCATCAATCTTGATACAGGGTACTTATTATATGTTGTACTTTGGATTCCTAAAGCTTTTAGTCTACCTTACCATCATCCAATAGTAGTTTTCACTATAAGTAAAAAAGAATTTTTGGACGGACACCATAATTTACAGTTTTTTACTATGTTCAATCTGAATTTTCTTTAAAATAAAAAACATCTATATTGATTCTGACTTTTCTACATCCAACTCACAGGTTTATCATTACTTTGAGAAAAAAGACTATTAATTTAACCCTTTTAGAAGGGAAGATATGGTCATTTGTTCTGGGAATGTCATTTTCGAGCCTGAGACCTGAAAAACAGGCTCAGGGCTAAACAGGATAAACAGTCCCATCCTGAATCCTCAAAATCACACAACAATTGATTACCTACTTGACATGATCTTTATCAAGTACTACCTACATTCCCAATGTGTAACCCTCACCACTGACCCCATACATCTGTGTGCTTTTCTGCATTTCTCCAGGAGTCCGGCATCGAGCTAGGCCCTGGACTATTTTTCTCCGATGGCAAGAGAAAAGTTGACTATGTCCTTTGCTACAAATACAAAAAAAAGCCATCCAAAGCACGCCTTTCAATTATCTCCAATGGGACTGTGCCCGTTTCGATTACGGGCCGCTGTGAGGTGGAGTCTGGGGATGGAGGTGCTCCTGCAGGAGAGGTGGAGGAGTCAAAGCTGACTGAGGAGGAAAAGGCTTTAATGAGGGAGGAGTTTGAAGCGGGTCTAATGGAAGCAGGACTACAGCTACAGCGTGATAAAGAGGTGCGTTTCTGCTTTTACAGTCCTTTCAACGTGATTATTTTTCATCTGCTACACACTTCTATAGACGTTTATGGGTCAGAGCTGACCTTAAGTGATGTGAACATAAATCCTGTCATGGACAGCTGCCAAACAGGTTGAGGGGAAGATTGAGCTTGTCCCTTAAAACTGGAGGACATGCCCGCACTCTGGTTAAAAATAGCCTTTATTACTTATTGGTGATATATTATAGGATGTAATAATAGTTATAATAGTCGAAATTACAGTAATAAGTATGTTGTATGTCTTTTGTCGTGTACATTATATAATATCTCCAAGTGTGTTTGTTTCCCCTATGTCTGTGAATATGTGCATGTTAATGTGTGTGTCTTTGTGTGTGTGTTGGCGTATGTGTTTGTGAGATGGTTGTATCTTAAATCAGCTGCTGTTTTGGTTGAGGATTAAGAACACTCGCCATGAGTCTAAAGCCAAAGGCCAGATTATAGGGCCTTATTAGAGAGTGATCCACTGCTCAGAAGTGTGTGTGCTGAAACATGAGTGCACAGTGGGGGAGATTGGTGGGTTTAGTTGTTGATTGAATGGGTGGAAGGGGGCACTCAGTGGTCACTGTGTACTGGACAGTATGTCTATCTGTCTGCCTGTGCTTAAATACGATAAGAATCACATTTTTGTAACTGAGCTGTGACGGTTTAATCCGTTTACTGTTGTGGGTAGTGTTGTTTGTTTGTGCTACAGCATCAGGAAGTTATTTTACATCATACTTACATCATGATTGTACAATTTATTTTGTATAATTCACTTTTCAACCAAACTGTGGACATACTTTTTTTTACCACTACTCATTCAAAGTGGTAAAAATATTAATCTTTGCATCAAAATGATTTCTGATCAGAATGAGGTAGCTTAATAGAAGTGTATAGTGTCCAATTATGGGTGTTCATGTTGTTGTCGGAAAATTGCTGGTAAATTGCTGGTGACACACAGCATTAGAGGTGTTGGTTGAGCCTGTGCAGTGGTAGCTGCCTTGCATTGAAGTCATTATAGTAATTGCATGGGCAGGTTATAATTCTGTGGGCCATAGAACAAGGTAATAGCTTGTCACTTTTCACATGATCAAAATTGATAACTGGCTACAATAAGGTGGCTTTCAAGTACCTAGTTCAACATTATCTGCACTCATTTTCTATGCTTTGGAGGATTGGGAGGTTCTAGGCTTGACATAATGGGATTTCCTACAAAACAGCCTCATTATTACACAAAGTAGCATACTTACAGGTTTAGGGAAGGCTCATCTGGCTGCCATGGGTCAAGTAACAAGAGCATTACATCCAAGACAAAGGGAGTCAAAAAACCAGATACACAGTTAATCTATTCACAGAGGCCTGTAACCCACATCTAATTACAAATATACACAATGGTTGTAGTAATGCATTTTGTGTTTTTATTATGTTAATGTTTATCTGTGTGTACATTGGCAGAGGGCTAAAGGCATAGGGTTTATCCGGCTTCACATCCCATGGCCAATACTCAGTCGAGAAGCGGAGCTCCAGAAGATCAAAGTGGCTGTGAAGAAGGTCAGCAGCCATTTACATACCCTGGTTTTAAATGTTAAGTTGTATGTAACATGATTCTAACATTTGCAGAATAATTATTTGGGTGCACATAACATCCCCTTCAAAAAAATGTAATGTGAATAGTGATAACCGAGATGTGTGTAGTATGCACAACTTAGTGTTAGAATCAAACCTTTTCTATGTGTGTTTTCATTGAGCAGAAGTGTGAATTGCGGAAACGGATGGGAATTGCTGGGATGTGGGATTCCATTATGAACAAAATCAGCACACCGTTTCTCCCGGATGTTCCTGACTGTGAGGTCCAGAGAGACTCACAGACACGTGTCCACTTCAAAACCCTCAAACATCCTTTTATCAGAGACAAGCTCCACCTGTGAGTACCTGTCTGTCACACACACATGCACACATTTCGTGGAAGGGAAACTAACCCACTTTATCCGCGCCCTTGGCTGGGGACACACATGCCCTTCAGTTGAGTCCTGATAAGTGATTTAGATAACACCCATAATATCCAAATCACCTGCAGGCTGTGTGCTTACATCATTCTTATCATAACATGGTGGAGCTTTCATGTAAATTAATTTTACTGTTTGGCCTACTGAAATGCTACTGGGTCACAGCAAGCTACAAAATACACTCAACAGTGATTTCCTTGTTGTTACCTGATTTATTTGATTAACAAACACACACAAAGACAAAATAAACACTTTTATTTGGTAAATGTGAAAGTGAGTGAAGTCTGTTGTTAATATTAATCGCTCACATTTTGGTCTTTGACTGCTTCCTGTCATTTCCTGCAGGTATGACATCAAGTCAACAGAAACCTTATTTGACAATGCAACACGCAGCAGAATAGTGAGTACAGAAAAAAAAATCCAACAAATGTTATGTAAGGAGGAATATTTATATAGTTTTGATTTATATGTAGTTGAGCTTTCAACATTTGGATTTCCTTTTTTTGTGTTTAGGTGGCTGAGATTATTTCCCGCACTGTCTGCAGTCGAACTTGCCAAACCACTGGTGAGGTCGAACTTTAGCTGTGGTTTTATTCTCCTTTCTTATATTGTTCATATGCACATTCATGCTACCTCTCAACATGTCTGTGACACTGCGTTGCACTTCCTATTTTCTAATTAAGGCATCAACTCATTATTGGCTCAGGGTGTCTACGACTCTGCCTTCCCTCTGCATGATGTGAGTACAACAGAAAAAGCTACTTCACTTGACAATGTGAAAGTACATGTGCATATTCTTTATGTTAAGGGCCTTATTGATTTATATAGCACCAAACATAGACAAAATACTGTTCTTAACCATTGTAATTGCTGTAATTATGATTTTGCATCAAATAAAGGCAGTGAATCTCTATATAAAGGGTTCTTTTTTTCTACAGGGGTCGTTCACAAGGAGAGGGCGTAGAGATCAGCGAAATGACAGACAGGTGAGTTCAGTGGACCCAAATTGGTCTTAGACTAAATGTTCTCAAAAAGCCTACTACAAATATTGGTGGGATCAGTGGAGATGGTACCTGTCACTTTTTAAGGGCAGGAACATGTAATGTAAAGTGTTCAAAGTTAAATCAACAAAGCACTCTTTTAAATGTATAATGCCATTTCCCTCTCAAAGCATGACTTTGAGAGGGAAATGGCAATGAAACCGCTGTATATTGTCAAATTAAATCCAATCTGCAATTCAATTATCAAGTGTCAACTTGTGATTTATTCTTGTGTCATGTGCTTTCAGCTCCTCCATGAAGAATGGGCCAACTATGGAGTCATGTATAAATACCAGCCGGTCGACTTGATCAGGTATGGAGCAGTTAGTGAGAACAAAGACAAAAAGTCTTGAGCTACAGCTATAGTTGGGACTGCAATGCAAACACTCTGTTCTCAGGGTGTTTTAACTAGAAAGCTCAAGTCTTAAATGTAAGGGATCTAAATAAACAGTAAGCTACTACTGAACCTACCATGAAGTAATAGTTTTGTTAGCATAATGTTTTGACATTAGCCTTCACTGGGATAATCTGGCCTTTAGCGTGGACACTGTTTACTACTGTGGAACAGGATTGGACCATAGGCCGGCAACTAGTTCATATATTTGCTTCATTTCAACAGGAAGTACTTTGGAGAGCAGATTGGGTTGTATTTTGCCTGGCTCGGTGTCTATACTCAGCTCCTCATCCCCCCCTCTGTGCTGGGCATCATTGTCTTCCTGTACGGTTTATTCACTGTGGATACCAATGTGCCAAGGTAGGCAGATTAAAACACTCTAATGGATCATTATCAGAAGTACACTATTATCGCCATACATGTGGTCACATTATTGTCTTTGCTCAGCCAGGAGACATGTGATGACCACCATAACATCACCATGTGTCCACTGTGTGACGGAGTGTGTGACTACTGGCTCCTGAGCTCCGTCTGCTCACTGACCAGAGCGTCGTACCTGTTCGACAATGGAGTAACTGTCCTCTTTGCCATCTTCATGTCTCTGTGGGGTAACTAATCATTCAAAGACACTTCCTTGATCATGTTTATTTCTATAGTCCAGCTTAGAAGCAGTGGCAGTGAGAGTATGAACACTTGAATACAGCACTACGAGAATCACTGATAAAGATATCTGATTTATATCAATATCAAGCTACTCAACTGCATGTAAATGTACTGTAGGCCAAACGAGTTGACTGTTACATGTTTGTATCAATTCTAGTCGAGTACATTTCTGTATTAAGGGAATACTTTACCCCCAAAATGATAAATTGTATATCAATTACTCACCCCATGTTATCTTAAGTACATTTCTATTATTTTATGTAAATTATTTCCGCATTTAACAACAACCAAACTATTAAAAAATCTCAGGCGAAAAAATCTCACAGAACTTGTACAGTATAAATTAAATGTTGTGTGTTCAGACTCATCCTAACTATTACCTAAACAAAAAGCATTTTCTTTACAAAAACTAACCCCCTATTTTAAAAATAAAGGAAATACTTTTGGAAGTCTTTTGCAGGTTGAATAGTGAATTATAAGACATGGATTATGCTGGATAAGATGTATGATGGTTTTTATAGATTTGCTCTTGTTAAAGGTGGGGTAGGTAATTTTGGAGAAACCAGCTCGAGTGCGCTAGAATTTGAAAATACACAGCCGGAAAAAATCTGCCACTTCCTTACAGAGCCCCTCCTCCAACACACACGAACGCGCACATGACCAATGAGGGCACGAGATAAGTTTGTGCACAGATGGAAGGCTGACAGGCAGGTAGGCCATCCAGTTATTTTAGCCAAGCCGGCTAAAATGATTGGTCGTACTTTTTACAGTACTACTGCTTCCACAGATGAAATTTTTTTATGGATTTTTTGTCAAAGCACTTAAGATATTCATTGCTATCGGGATGTTAAGAGCATTCCATGGAATATAACAAAAAGTGTTTCTGAAATAAATGACATACCCCACCTTTAAATGCAGCAAACATTTACTTTCATTAAGAGTTTCCTCTGTTTTTTGGATTCTGCATTCAATGTGAGGGTATAGAATAATTTGTTTTCTCACAAGCCAAAGCTAACAGGGGTTGAGTAATGGATCTACAAATCATCATTTTGGATGTAAAGTATATAAAACATTTGCTTCATTTTGTTTGCTGTTAAGGGAGGCTCATAATACTCCATAACTAAAACATTATTGCACACTATAAGACTTTCTTGTGTAATAAAAGAAAAGGGGAGATCTTTTTGTATTGTAATGATTGTTATTCCTTCTGTGTTTGTTCTTGTAGCTGCCTGTTTCCTCGAGCACTGGAAGAGGCGCCAAATGTGTCTGAAACATATGTGGGACCTTACAAGCCTTGAGGATGAGGAGGTACCAAAATAGATTCAAGAATACACCCACACTATTTTGGAATAGTGTTAACTGCTTGTCATTGAGAGTATCCATGTTGTTCTCCATGTTGTAAGGTCAGAAAGTGTTAACCCCCTGGCCCAGGTGGAGCATAATGACATTTGTTGTTTACCTTGCAGATTATCATTTGTGACAGAACAGTGTCAACATACACATTTACACTTGACCATCAGAGCACTAACACGGCTCTTTACCCTGCTAATGGCTGTAATGGGATTGCTCTATTCTTAAAGGCTGTGATTGCTAGTGACACTGCAGCGTTAAATTATAAACACTCCCAGCGTTGCAGCACCAATACAAATCTCTCTTTTTCTCTGTCTCTCTTTATGTATTTCTGCCATTGCTGCTTATAGGAGCGAGTCCAGGTGTGTATTATAAATCATGTCTTTCAGAAATATCTTTGTTTGAATATTTATTAGCAATGTATTTGGATAACATATTTTGAGTTGTCCAGGAGAAGACTCTTTTTAAACTTTACTGTGGTGGGTCTTATAATAAGATATTGTATAAAAAAACAGCATTTTATTGATTTTGGAAAATAAATTCCAATCAAAATCAGTCTGATCCCTTTGATCAAATCTATGTTTTTGGGTCAAGGTCCCTGAAGAAACGTGATTCTGTCCAGGTGCAGGCCACTAATGACATCAAACTGCTAATGTCATGCAGTTTTTCAATCAGAAATGTCATAGAATATAGCTTTGTTGTATAGGTCTGTCTAACCCTTAACTCCGTAGCTAGTGACCAAAGTCAACACACTAAGTTGTGGTGTGAGGGTTCTTTTGTGTGTGTGTTTTACCATGTGCATGTGTGTGATGCAGGAGGAGCTGAGGCCTGAATATGAAGAAGCTCTGCTGGAGAAAAAAGCAAAGGTGAAAGAACTGTCAAAGAAAAAGGTATTGTTTCTGGGTTTATGTTTCAGATTCAATTTTATGATTTGTGACACCAACTGAAGTGACAGCTTCTAACACGTTTCTCACTCTGTTTTGACTTGCAGATGGCTCAAATTGGGGATGGTATAGATGGAGAAAAAGACCAAATGCTGACCTCACAGGTATCACTGCACCCTTCTGTGTGACTTTATGTCGAGACAGTTGCTAATGGGAGACGGCAGGGCTGTTACAAAACGTGCTTCATAGCAACATTATCCATACCAGCATTAATTACAGCATGTCTGAGTTTTTATTCTAAATTAAAGTTGTAACAGACTGTCTGTATGAGTTCATGTTGGTGAACAAAAAGGAAACCACCTTCACCTCAAGTGGATGGTTGACGCCAAAGCTGCTTACCTTCCTGAGATTAGCTCAGATTACTGATAGAGAGAGAAAAAGGGAGGAGGGAGAGGAACAAGGGGAGGGGATTTCTGTCCTATCAGGCGGTAAACATGCACCTGGCAGACAGAAACCATAATGTCCTCAAAACCTGTGCTCAGCATTAATGTACATCCCATGCTGTTCATGCATTAAAGTGTGTGTGTGTGTGTGTGTGTGTGTGTGTGTGTGTGTGTGTGTGTGTGTGTGTGTGTGTGTGTGTGTGTGTGTGTGTGTGTGTGTGTGTGTGTGTGTGTGTGTGTGTGTGTGTGTGTGTGTGTGTGTGTGTGTGTGTGTGTGTGTGTGTGTGTTTGTCTTTGTACCCAATTAATATGCATGTGTTCTCGACAGCTTGAACCAGAGTCCCTGGAGATTGAGGATCACCTTTCAGGGTATCTCATCAATGTGTCCACTTTACTACTGCTGGTACTGCATTTACATTCCTCCTCTTATAATCACATCAAACATTATATAATGATTACAGTCATTTTTGGTGAGAACAGTGTACAACAGAAATATTCAGCTTTGTCCTTCTGTCATTGTTTGTCTATTCACTTGAATCACTTCCTCACTGTTAAGCATATTATATCTATTATTTTCTCACAATGACAGTGTTAATAGCAGTGACCCAAAATGTGTGCTAGCAAAATGTTTTTCTCTGGAAACAATTTAACTTGTTCCAGACATTAAAGACCATAAAAAAACAAATGTTAATTCAAATTCAACAGAAGGATAAAACTGCCCTTACAATAAAAGAGAGAAATCATAAAAATAAGAGTAGAAGCAAACAAAAAAATGCTAATTGACATGCACTTAAAATTATAAACATACACTGCTCATAAAGAATAGTCATTAAAAAAGCAATCCTATGTTGTTGTCTAACTTTAATATTGTGGGTATGTGTGTTGTGTGTGCAGATCTTCGCCACCTTCTCAGCAGTTTTCGGGGTGGTGGTTTATCGTATCTGCATGTTGAGTGTGTGGTCCATGAACCCTGACCCTGAAGCCAAGGCCAGCGTGAGGATGACCGTCACCACCACAGGCATCATCCTCAACATGCTCGTTGTTCTGGTGATGGAAGAGGTCTACGGATCCATCGCTGTGTGGCTGACTGAACTGGGTATTCAATATAATCCTGTCATTATGTAAAAACGCTTTAATAGGGAATTGTCACGTCTCACAATGTTGGGCTAATGGATATTTGCTGAACAAATAGACATATTTTTTTATTAAAACAAAACTATTTGAGCATGTAAGGCCTTGTTACTTATTTAGTTGACTCCTTTGGATGAAAATCAATCACTGTGATGCCTAACATGATGTGTTTACGTTTCATGTTTCTCCTTTCCAACAGAACTTCCTAAGACAAAGGAAGAGTTTGAAGAGAAGCTGATCTTTAAGTCTTTCTTCCTCAAGTCCATGAACTCCTTTGCACCTATTTTCTATGTGGCCTTCTTCAAGGGCAGGTGTGTGCCTCATACACAATCTTTTACCTCTCAACATTGTCTTTCCTTATTGCTTATTATGCAACATCTTTTCATACAGGTTTGTTGGGCGGCCTGGGGACTATGTTTACGTCTTTGGAGATTATCGCATGGAGGAGGTATGTTCACTTACACACATTAAAAAATGACGCGTATGTATGTACAGTTAATGTGTATCTGTGTCTTGAGCAAATGTGTTTTTTTCTTTCTACAGTGCGCCCCGCCAGGCTGCCTCATCGAGTTGTGCATCCAGCTTAGCATGATCATGCTGGGAAAGCAGCTCATCCAAAACAATGTATTTGAGGTTCTCATACCGTAAGTATATATAAAGATTTTAACACTTAACTTACAGTTCTCCTTTATTTATCAATCGTTGCTATCTTTGCTCTGACTCTGCACTCTGTTGTCATTTTTCTTTGCAGTAAGCTGAAAAAGATGTACAGAACGATACAGGAAGAAAAGGGAAAGAAAAGAGCAGCACAGGATGAGGATTCTGTAGCAGAAGAGAAGAGGCCGAAGCAACAATTTGACAAAGACTTCACCCTTGAACCCTATGAAGGGGTGACTCCAGAGTACATGGAAATGAGTGAGTCTCTTCTACTCTTTTGCTCACTCTAATCAGTCACTCACTACTGCAATCACACAACATGATTCTTTAACTTTGTGTGTTTTACAGTAATCCAGTATGGGTTTGTGACTCTGTTCGTGGCCTCCTTCCCGCTGGCGCCAGCGTTCGCTCTGCTCAACAACGTCATTGAAATCCGCCTCGATGCTGCAAAGTTTGTCACTGAGCTCAGGCGGCCTGATGCTGTGAGGTGTAAAGACATAGGTACAGATCACACATGAGAGCACGTCCACTCTGTCAGTCAGCCTGTGTGAATGTGAAACAAGCTATCCTTGAAATTGTAATCACTTTTTCCCTTAATCTTCTCTGCCTTTGTCTGTCTCACACACCTTTCCCTTTTCCTCTTTGTCTTTTTGTCTTTTTGTCTCTGTGTCTCTTTTCATGCAAATTCTATGTCCAGGGATTTGGTACAACATACTCTGTGGAATCAGCAAGTTTTCTGTCATTACCAATGTAAGTGTATGTGAGTGTATCTGTGTGTGTATATACTATGTATGTATCTACTGTGCCCATTAATTGGATGTGCACAACTAGTTACTTAACGTTTTGAATACTGAGTGTAGCTACACCGGTCCAATAAATAAGGCCACGAACATACTGATGTCTTTTTGACGGTTTATTCTCTCCCTCTCGCTCTCATTCTCCGAAGACAACGTGTAAACTATAAGAAATGAACAGTTGAAAGTTTACATTAAATCGTAACACCTAACACATTAGCAAAATCAAAGCACACACTAAATATTAACACACATATCACAAAAGAGAAACATTTACCGTGTGCGCCTCTTGAACCCTGTAGATTATGCCAACGGCATGCGTTGCCATGGCAATGCCTTCTGACTTGACTGTGGTCATGCGACTCACCGACCACATCCCAAATGTGAACCATTCTACATTTCGCTATCCAGATAATACTCTACATTTTACAATTGTCTAATTACACTCACATTTACTAAATCATAAATTGATAAGCAAGGCATGAACATCCAAATATAAACACTTCTCAGACCGTTACACTGAGTAATAATATATGAGTGAAATGTTTTGCTTTTGCCATATCATTGTTTTTTACATCATTTTGTTTTATTTGCATTTCATACTTAAAGCAACATCAATTAGTTCATTATTATATTGTTGCCCCTTCAATTCTACAATGCAAGTAACCCATACACAGCTGTCTTAAACATAGACATTATGTAACTTTACAGGTGCATGTGTATATGTTTTCAACTTTTGATATTACACATTACTATCACAAGTCATTTAAGGCATCATAAACGATTTTGAAGCTGTTAACATTTAAATTATTTTTAAGATAAAAATTGTGACATAATGTTGCGTTAAAGAGACAGAGGATCATCATGTGTAAAAAGGAGCGCTCTGGAGTGTCTGTGTAACAAAGAAAATATGTTTACATTCACTATTTCTCACAAAAATGCATTGAGTCATTGATGCAATATGCATTTTCTAAAACCTTTGCAAAATAGTTGAAATTATTTGCGTGAATACATTAACATTCATGTTTGCTAGCTGGCAGTCTCCTTTTCTCTTGACTTGTCAGTACTTTTCTTTGCACAACATACCAGCTATTTTATCAGTTGAGTAACAGAAAACCATTGGCAGGAATGTGGAGCCAATTGATCAACAAATAGTTTTTGCTGTATTTATACATTTTTGTTTTTGTTTGTAAAGTAACTAGCAATTATATCTATCACAAAACATATCATGAAAACCTTGATATATTTTAAATTAACTTGGTCAAAATTCTCACCAGTGTACCTTTAAGTCTAATATAATCCTATATGGTTGTATATAGCTTATCACCAGTTGATGCTGCAGCAGTAACTGGTACACGATGATCATATTACACTATTGTAAATTCATCACTCCTTGTTTGTCTTCCCAGGCGTTTGTCATCTCCTTCACGTCAGAGTTTGTTCCACGAATGGTCTACCAGTACATGTACAGTGAAAATGGCACCATGAAGGGCTTCACAGAGCACTCACTGTCCTACTTTAATGTCACCAACTTCCCACCGGGCAGTGCGCCCACCTCCACCCTCATCACCGGAGTCTCTATGTGCAGGTCAGACTGACTCTCTTATCCCTGACCTACCTAGGTTTTCCTTTAAATCCTGAGCCCAGCAGCTAAGCTCTTACTTTACCTAATTGCCAAACTTGACAGGAGTATTCACAAACTGTAAAATGTGGGGTTTACAGAAGGGGTTTTACGAAGGCAAATCCTCAGATTCTTCTCTGATTGTCAACCTTTTTTGATTTATGGTAGTGTATGATTCTCCTTGTTAATACACTGTCTGTGTTTTTCAGGTATAAGGACTACAGAGACCCACCGTGGGACTCTCATGCCTACACCTTCTCTAAACAGTACTGGTCTGTCCTGGCTGCAAAATTGGCCTTTGTAATATTCTTCCAGGTATACAAATATGATTTACAATGGTCCTAATATTAATGTCTAAAAAGTGTTCCCTGATCTCCAAGTCTTTCTTTTTCAAATCTAACACCAATGCAACCAACTGATATGTGGCTTTCTTTAATCGCATATGTGCACTGTAATTGATTTGTTATTTACTCATTCTTCACCATTGTTTTGTCTTTTTTGCCTGCACATGCATGATGTTATAGATATATATGTGTATATATCTTTGTTTGGAATGCGCCAAACAAACATGTCCTCTCCTGATACTGATTTGTACACATCCCCTCAGATTATCTGCTTGTACAGATTGAAGAAGATACTTTGTTTTTCCCAAATCTAAATTGTTAGAATTCTTTTTATATAAGCTAACAGAAAGCCAGGGATTTCAATGGTGCTCGTCTGGCGCCCGCTGTGACTGAATTAGTGTATCTGAACAGCTGAAGATCAATCATTAATGTCCCTCGAATACCAGGCGATGGAGCCATTAATTGATGTAGATGGCAGATGGTTAGGACCACTGACCTTCTTCTGCAGTTATTAAAACCTATAAATATGAACCCTTTGATGTGTAAGCTAATATAATCTAAAAACGCCACCTGTCTTTTCCCCTGCAGAACTTTGCAATGTTCCTCAGCATGTTGGTGGCCTGGATGATCCCAGACGTGCCGCGATCTCTGCGGGAACAGCTGAAGAAAGAGAACATGATGCTGATGGAGTTTCTGCTGAATCAAGACCAAGGAGCACGTGCCAAATCTCACTCCCCCGAACACTCAATCTCCTGCTATCCCGCCATAGAAATTGTGGTGGAGGAACCAATGGGAAAACTACAAGAGCCGCAAGTGGAGGAGGACGAGGACGAAGAAAGGGTTGAAAGCAATCTGGATGGACTCAGAAGTAACAGTGACAGTGATCTAGAGGTTGGGAGGTCTTCCGAAGAAGTTGAAGAGAAGGGAAAGGAGCAGCAAGGAGAGGAAGGAGAAGATAAAGGTGTAGTAGAAGAGGTAGAAGAAAAAGAGAAGGAAAAAGATGAAAAGGGGGATACTGAGCAAGAGGTAGGAGAAGAAACAGTCGAAGGAGAAGAAAACAAAGGGGACAAAGTGGAAGTAGAAGAAAACAAAGGGGACGAAGTGGAAGGAGAAGAAAACAAAGGGGACAAAGTGGAAGGAGAAGAAAACAAAGGGGACGAAGTGGAAGGAGAAGAAAACAAAGGGGACAAAGTGGAAGGAGAAGAAAACAAAGGGGACGAAGTGGAAGTAGAAGAAAACAAAGGGGACGAAGTGGAAGGAGAAGAAAACAAAGGGGACGAAGTGGAAGGAGAAGAAAACAAAGGGGACGAAGTGGAAGGAGAAGAAAACAAAGGGGACGAAGTGGAAGGAGAAGAAAACAAAGGGGACGAAGTGGAAGTAGAAGAAAACAAAGGGGACGATAAGGGAGTAGAAGAAAACAAAGGGGACGAAGTGGAAGGAGAAGAAAACAAAGGGGACGAAAAGGGAGTTACGGAGACGGAGGTTCATTTTGAGGAATTTACTGTGGATCTGGACGCCTTCATGAGTCAGCTGGGTCTGTTAGGTGAGAGGAGAACACGTGCTGTGTTGGTGGTCTTGCTGTTTTGGGCTTTTGAGCTTCATTTAGCACTACATGTCTTATCATTTGTCATCCTTTCTGTAAAGTAATGTTGTCCTGTTTATAATACATTTCTGTATTTCTCGTCCTCTAGATGATGAGCCCTTACCAAGCACAGCCAGAGAGACAGAGCTCCCCCGCTCAGAGTCCAAACAGGAACACCAGAAGGAGCAGATGCCTCCTTCACATCCATCGTCTAAAAGAGGCTCATCCCTGAGTCTGAGTGGCTCCAGGGCAGAACTGACACCATCAGATATTGACACGAGGCCGTTCTCCTTAATTGCTCCTCCTCCCAAAGAGCAAGTCTCAAGGGCCAAGTCCAAGACCCTGCCTTCTCGTCAAAGAGAGTCGGAGGCTTGTTACAGCCTGCCGCGGCCCAGCCACTCCACCAGCCTCACCAGGCTCCAGCAGGCGGCCACAAGTATTCCCCTGGTCCCACTGGGCTCTTCATTACCAGCCTCAAGCAACCAATTATCTCCCCCCCACAGACCTGTGTCACCATCACCTCCTCATCCTGCGGAGTCTCTATCGGCCCAGCAGCCCCAAGCCCCCATTGAACTATTCGCGCTGAAAGGCCCCCCCCCCTCAGCAGCCACGCTCCAGGGGCAAAGCCCGGTGCTCCACTCTGCCTCCCCGACAGAGAGCCCCCGGTCCTGAGGAGAGCTCCATCAAGCCTAGCCAGTCCACCAGCTTTACAAACCTGGGGGACCGCATCCCCCCCTCCCCCAGTGAACTGAAGCACAACTCACCAGTATGAGAGAGCTGGAAGGGAAAGGGACAGAGGGGGTCAGAGGGAGGGGGAGGACTATCCAGATTAGCCCCTCTGTGACTGGAGCCTCACCCCTCCGTCTGTCCTCCCTTAATACCTGGGGTCTGAAGAGTAACCACCTAGAAACACTGAGCGTGCTTTTATCCACTCATAGGTTTAGGGCTGACAAAGGGAGTGCTGGACAATTCAGAGAAAGCAGCTCTGAAACTCTCCCTCTCGTGCCAGAAAACATTACCACTGGAACTTTGACTCTTTCTATTCCTGCTGACTTTTTTTGGGGTTTGTTTTTTTGTTGGTTTATTTTCACAGCTAAATAGCCACTGCTCCTCTACCATTTTCTGTCCCACACATGCAGCAGTGCTGCCTTGCAGACCAGAGGAAGATGGAAATATATACAGCACCGCTAGTTTCAACACTTATGCCTGTAGATACCGTTTATTTCTAGAGGTTTTGATATATAAAAAAATGTGATTTATAATAAATGAAGGTTTTTAATATCTGTTTTTTTGTTTGTTAACACACAAGGTAATAAGATTTTTTTATATTGCATTCAGTCTTGGCAACTTAGACACAAAGGCTTTTATTTCTGACATCAAATGGGGAAATTATTTCTTGCAGTTCATTTGAACAAATTACCCATATTCAGCTTATAAGAAGAATACAAAAATGAAGAAGAATAAAGAAACATCAAATACAAAAAAGGCATTAACCCAGCACTCACGACACATTCCCAAAATGTCGCTAATGAATCCTAATCGGGAGAAGAAGGCAGCGTCAACACTGAAAGGCTTATTGATTTGTTGCTGCTGCCCCCCTGTGGTGTGTGCTGAAACACTGAGAAATGATTTGGTGTCCTTCTTTGGTGTCCTGTCTTTAGATATCGAAGCTCAGTGATGTTTGCTTTCATATCATTCTCAAACCTGACAATACCAAAGTTCTCAGGCAAAAGAAGAAGAACCCCTTTAAATTGTAATTACTTGCTGAAAATGTTGCCTAACAAAAACTTAAAAGGGTAAACGTTGTTATTGTAACCAAGGTTTCGTGAGTTTTTATGATATTTTTGTCCCAGACAGCTGTGCAATTTTTGCAGAGTGAAGTTTCACTCTTTCTGTTTGTGTACGAAAGATCCTTTTTCTCCTCTATCCATAACCTGCACTGGCTCCTCCTCCCCTCCCCATCACTGAATGGGGCCTTTGTGGGGGCTTCCCAGCATTCCAAGGGAATTCTTGCAGGTGAGGGTACACAAACTATCCCACTCTTTAACAACTGTGCGTCACATTTATATCTAAAAATACTCAAATGCTCTGTCAGGGCTGTCCAGCGCTGAGCTAACCTCACTTCAGAGGACAGGTTGCAACTTCAAGGGTGTGATCACAGCAGAGAGAGTGGGAGGGGAGGATCACTTTGTTTCTATCCAGGTGAGACAACGCATGCATTCGGAAAAAAACAACATGCCTACTGCAGCCTGATGCCTCACACAATGAGGTGCATCGTACAGATTAGGGAAAGCATTAGCTGAAAAGTGAATTTGCATTATTTTGGAACTTTTGAGGCCGTCTTTGAAGAAGATTGCCACAAAAGCTGAAATAGTGAACTTATAGGGTCTATATAGGGCTGTTATCTGGAGTGGATTAGTGAAGTACATAAACTGTGTGAGTAACAGGCTACACACACACAGAGGTCCCTGAACATCTCAGTGGGAAGGTGAGTGTGTCTGTGTGTTTCAATGTGCATATATAAATTGATTTATTTTGTTAACAAAGGGACTGAATATGCAGTACGTTTGTTGGCATGAAACTGGAGATTTTAGTTCACACAATATTCTACTTTATTGGACTCTGTCCACCTTCTGCCTCAGCTTCCCTCTCTTCGGTTGGTACTGGTCAAGACGAAACAGCCTGCAGGTATGTACTTGTTTTCACATTGAGGTTAAAGAACAAACTAATGTGAGCTATGCTGTATCCCAGTGAGTAAATCATGGCATTACAGGAAATATTTCTAGTTATTAATGACTGATTGTACATTTCTGGAAGTAGTTTTCCAACAGATTAAATATCAAGTTTTTATCTTCTCTGTTATGGGCAGAGTCCACAAGAGGACAAAAGGGCTTCACTTCTCTAATCTTTTGCTCTCAGGAGGGCTCCTCCTCACCCTCCTTTATCTGGCTTACCCTTTGATATCGTTTGTTCTCCATCTGTAAATGACTCTTCCTTCATGATTGCATGTGCACAGAGAAGTGGCACTGACAGAGACAAGTCTAATCTAATTTTGAAATGTATTACACATAAAGCACAATTACTTTACTTGTTTGTGTAAAGTATCAAATGTAATTTATGTAACAATAGTGAACTCATGTTCTGTCCTTGAATCAAGTAAACTCTCTCTCACTTTTATGTTGAATGTGATTTCAGAACCTGAACATGAAACCAAATGGTCATCATTAGTGTAACATTTGGTGTTGTTTGGTGTTTTTCTTGGGTGAATTATGTGTTCCCTAGCAACATGTTGCATACAGTCAGTGAGTGGCTGTGGTGGGAGCGTATGTGGCTGCCAGAAAAAGTCTCCTGGTCGGATCTGGAGGACAGTGAAGGTCGTGTTTACGCTAAAGCCTGTCATCTCTACGCTGCTCTGCCCTGCGCCCTCTGCCTGCTCCTCGTCAGATACCTGTTTGAGAGGTGAGCAGATGCCATTGTCTGCTTTTGAAATAAAAGGATTACGTTGCAAAAGTTTGGAGGCCTGTTTTGCGTTAGACAATGTGTTGCACTATACTCACACACCTTTACGGTGATGCAGGTACCTGGCCACACCGCTGGCTGATCTTTGGGGAGTCAGGGACCGTGTTCGTCTCACAGCAGAGACAAACCCTGTCCTGGAGAAGCACTTCTGCAGCCAAGCACGGGTTCTTTCACAGGTCTGTTAACAATCAACAATTTGGTTACATTATTCAATGTTAATTGACTCTCTGTCGCATTTCAAATTGTATGCCGATTAAAGATGCAACAATTACAACCACTGCCTTTTTTCAGAGTCTGATTGTTTAAATCATATTAAACTGAAAATCTTTGGCATTTCGAAAAAAATAAGAAATGTTTAAGACGTCATTTTGGACTTTCAAGAACTTGGATGGACATATTTCCCTATATTCTGACACTTTATAGATTAATCAATTAATATTTAAATTAATCGGCAGATCTTGGCATGATCTTTCTTGTGTTTCAGGCTGACTTGAGGTCTATTTGTAAGAAGACCAGCTGGCCAGAAAGGAAAGTTCAAGTTTGGTTCAAGAGGAGGAGGAACCAGGAGCGCCCAGGTCTTCGCAAGAGGTTCTGCGAGGCCAGGTGTGTGTGTGTGTGTGTGTGTGTGTGTGTGTGTGTGTGTGTGTGTGTGTGTGTGTGTGTGTGTGTGTGTGTGTGTGTGTGTGTGTGTGTGTGTGTGTGTGTGTGTGTGTGTGTGTGTGTGTGTGTGTGTGTGTGTGTGTGTGTGTGTACTGACGTGTGAACAACAGGGATTTAAATGTGTGATGAAACGTAACATTATTATCCTTGTCTGTCCACAGTTGGAGATGTGTGTTTTATTTGTTTGCATTTGTTGCCGGAGTGCTTGCTCTCTATGATGTAAGTAGCTGTGGCTTGTTGGCATGTTTATACACTGTTTCTATTTCAGGATTTGTAAGTCAATTCTTTCTGGTGTTACTGCTGTGAGGTCAAGTTTTTCTCTCTTATTTCGCTGTGATGTGCTGTGTGTTTTTCTCTTCTCATCTTATGTCTCAGGGTTTTTCACACACTGGCAGTTCACATGGCACACAGACCATCCCGTAGACTCCTCTCAATCTCTGTTTTTGTTTTTGTAGAAACCTTGGCTTTATAACCTGAAAGAGGTTTGGGCAGGCTTTCCTAAGCAGGTAAATATCTTTGCTATATCTATCAGATGGTACAATATTACAGTATGTAGTATAATTAACATCTTTATGCGTCTGGTATGTGTCCATGCAGTCCATGCTCCCATCTCAGTACTATTATTACCTCTTGGAAATGGGCTTCTATCTTTCTCTGCTTCTTAGCCTCACATTTGATGTGAAACGGAAGGTGAGTGTGCTGATGTATAACATCAACAAGTTCTCACATATTTATTTTAACACAAAACCTGTATTATCCTTTTTTGTCATTAAGATGGATTAATTGTAGATTTGACCTGTAGTGTGTATGTGTGTAGGACTTTAAAGAGCAGGTGACTCATCACATAGCCACACTGACTCTTCTGAGTTTCTCCTGGATTTCAAACTACATCCGGATAGGAACTCTTGTGATGGCCTGTCATGACTCCGCTGACATACTGCTAGAGGTGAGTGATGTTTTTTACATCAGTGCATGTTGCAAGTTAAAGGATGTGATACCTACTGTAGAGCCATACTGAGGGCTGCATTGTTAACCAGCTGTGATGTTGCATCGTCACAGTTCTGCAGCAAATATATAGGACATTAATTAACACAGAGTTGAATCAACACTGTTCTGCAGTTTCTGCAAAAATGAAACTCTGTTAATTTGCACTTAAGTATTATTTATCTTGACTGCCGTTATTAGCATACAAAATAAATGTGCATTGAATGAGAATTATTACATGAATAAAACTAAATATCAATAACAATTATGACTGCAGTGACTTTATGATTGTGAACTGTTCCCTTTAAACAAAGCAGTGAAACTGATTGTTTTTCGCAGGGTGCCAAGGTATTTAACTATGCAAAGTGGCAACGGACTGCTAACACCATGTTTGTGGTGTTCACAGCTCTCTTTACGCTGACAAGACTTGTCATTTTTCCTTTTTGGTAAGTTTTTGAAATGGAATGATTCTGTATGGTGATCTTGGTAAAATATGTTACAAATTATTGTGTATGTTTTTTACAGGCTGATCCACTGTACATGGGTGTACCCACTGGAGGAGTTTGCTCCCTTCTTTGGCTATTACTTCTTCAATGTGATGTTATTGGTTCTTCAGATACTCCACCTTTACTGGGCTGTTCTCATAGCGCGAATGCTTCTTAAGTTAATATTCAATAAGGTGTGTTTACAGGTGTTGCTGTGTATATTTATGTAAAGGAAATAAATGAAAACGCTGCACATTTCTCAAATGTCTCTCAAGAGTCTTGGGATTGCCCTTATTTAAATGTTTCTCTGTGGCACATTTCTGTCCTGCAGCTGGAAGGTGACGATCGGAGTGATGAAGAGGAGGATGACAGTGATTCACCAAAGGAAAGAAACAACAAATTGAGTCACATTAATGGCTCTGGAGCCAGAGGCCGGGGGGCAAATGGTCACTGACACGTTTACTGACAAAAGGAGATGGACAAAAAGGGAAATGAACAGCAGACATGAAGACTTATTCAGTGTGCAGCAGCTGGAATCTAATGGCACTTCAGAAAAGAGTAAATACACTTAAGCAGAAATAATTATATGCACAGGAACTGTGAAGGATTGTAGTCAAACGAAATAATTTGAAGCTTTGTCTTTTCTGGAGTTTGCTGAATTCATAATAACTATTCATCTTGTTGTACTCATTATTAAAAATAGAGGAATACTCTTTAAAATGTTGTGTTTTTTATGTTGTCGAGAAAATTAATGTTGAAAATGGATATACAAAAATTCCACGTGTTTATATGTGCTTCCACGTGTGTTTGGTGATGCACATTAATGCAAAGACGAAGCTCTACGGGAAATGTTTTACAACTGTGAGTTACTGATGAGTGTTAAAACTGTACATGTGACAGCATTTGGACATGGTCCTGCTTGCGTGGGAGGCGGAATGAGCAGAGAGGTTTAACTGACTCTGGATCATGACAACTCTGGATAGCTGCCTGCAATACCAGCACGCCCTCTCGCGACAATCAGCGAGAACTGACTGAAGACTCGTCAGTTAATCGCCATCAGTTGCCATAGAAACATCCACACAAACTATGCTTGAGCTCAGTTAAAAAACTCAAACACGAAAACGTAGATTTACGTTTTATATCAACAGTACACAAAACATTCTGACTATTACTGCTACAATGGCTCAGTATCGCACAAGTGTGAAAATCGGAAACTGGAACGAGGAACTGCGCTTAGAAGAGGTTTGTTATATTATAATGTTAATAACTTTAGACTTTAGCTAGCATAGCTACCTAGCAACACACCAGTTGGAGTGAAGTCATTCATCTAAGCTAACATGTGTGCCTGCGTCAACATGTAAACACAAGCTTACAATTTGTTTGTACGCTAAATGCTACATCTCTTAATGGATAATGACTTCAAACGGATTTAAAATGGCAATTCAGTATTCTTATTAAGCTACCCATTTCCGTTTTTAAAAAGCAGGTTATCCACTTGGACAACTTACTCAACAAACAACAAAAGCAGGTCTAATAAGGCTGGATAATTCACTGAAAACAATGTTTGCTTTCTTTGGCAATTGAAAAACAATATTTAACTAGAAGAAAAGGATTAATTGTATTGGTAAAATTACAAATTCCTGTTTACTGATACTGTATGATTCACATGGGAAGTAATATACTTTAGAAGCCATTCAGTAACAAAGACATGAGCAAGGGGGGAAAACAGCATTCATCATATAGCGAATGTAAGATGAAGATAGTAATACATCTTATTCTACATTATTTATATGTAAAAGAAAAAGCACTTATAGTGTATAACCTGCAGTAGTGGACACATTCAAGAATTAAGAATTAACACTCTATATATGTTGATTTGTTTTCCAGGATGCAAAGAGAGAGCACCTGGAGAAAAAAGAGAGGGGTGAGCTTGCTGCCCAGAAAGTAGACTTCCTAAAACAGCACATTTTGAGCCAGGTAAAAAGAGTTTAAGCTATTAGAACATCTTTAATAACAACAATAATATCACAGTGATGATGTGGATTGAAATTATGCTGTTTTTGTATTTGTGAAGGTGGATCTCACTGTGACAACCGATGGAAGATTGCACTTTGGGGATGTTGTGATGTTGGTCAACATGGGAGGAGAAGAGAGGGACTGCAGTGCATTGAGCATTAATGCAGATGTTAACAGTTTTAATAAGATTCCTACACCTGGCATTATATCCCCGTGTGGAGTTGTCGCAGGAAGAAGTATTCAGGCCTGCCCGCGCACTGCCTTCATCATTACCAGGTATACACATTAACACATCTAAAACCACATCAACTTACATAACAGATAAAACAGATGTTAACCTGTAACTCTGCTTATGTGACCACTAGTGTAGATGGCAGTCCTGAAGGGTCGACTCTTCATTTTGATCAAAGCTTTGCCCTGAAAACAACAAGCGGCTTTGCCAGGGGAGTAAGTGAAAACACACACATATATATATGATTATATAATTAAGATCCTAAAACAAAGACTGTCTGTTGTAGAGGTGCACCCCACTGTTTCTTCACATGGAGTTGAGTTTGTATGCCGTGAGAACAGTTGTGTAATATCCTCTGTGGTCCTGAGGGGAGCTTTATAAGGTTAAGAAAGTAACCGGATTATGACCCTTCTTTTTGGGCTTGGAAGCTATTTTTTTAAGATGTAGTTTAGAGACAATGTATTTTCTAAGTGCTCATTTACTTTCAGTGAGACAAAACATGATTCCTTCACATGTTGTTTTTTTAAACACCAAATGTTTTTCACTTTACATTTTGCAGTACACGTCTCATCTTTAATTTGTCACTTTGTGTGTTGAAATATTTTCTCAGCTTTACTTGACAAGTGACCTGCAAAGTTTTCAAAAGGTAGATCACGTTTTAACATTATTCATTTATTGACTACATTTTCTCTGGTTATTTTTCATATATTTTATTGTGACTTTATTTAAAGTGTGCAAAGAAGTCCCGGCTACAAGAAGTTAACTTGGAAGACGGCAGCTCCTTTCTGTCATGGTGGAAGATAGTTCACTTTGACCCCCAAGAGAGGCTTGAATATGAGGGTCAGCCTGTTCCTGTAAGTCTTAACCAAATCTTCGTGCTGAACTAACCTGTCACAACATCTGACTGTTATTGTCTGTTCAATCTGTAACTAAACTGTTAGTGTAATGTTGCTCAACCTCTGTTGCACTGATAATTTCCAATAAATCATCCACTGGCTTTTCTTTTTTCCAGGCTAATATGAGTGTGCTGATCCTACACTGCAAGACAAACCAGGCTCTCGCTGTGCTGGGTGATCACGTCATTTGGTATTTTCCATGTCCCCTTTAAAAGTCACCATATGTTGCTGTGTTAAAGGCAATGCTTTTGATTTGATGTCTGATGTGAGGTACACAGGTTTGGCACAAATAATGGCCTTTAACAAAAAGACAAATATCAGACGAAGAAAACTGCAATGTGGATGTAGGTCAGCTAACTATAAGCTAAAAGCTTGATAAGGCGCTGTAAAAAAAGATAAGGTTACAGTGATCTGAAAAACCTCTCTCTGATCTCTATAATCTTAGTCAACTCCAAGGCAACTCAGAGTAGTGAGTACAAATCAGTTTTTTGGACAAACAATCTGATGTATCTAATAAAAATAATATGGGGATTGTCTCAAGGTGGCAGTAATCCTACATTAAATAGAGACTTACACAATGTTGCTAATTTATGATTACTGGCTAAGATTCTTTGATTGATAGTTTTTCACTAAAACTTATATTCACTATGAAAAGATGTGTGTCTGTCTGTCTGTCTGTCTGTCTGTCTGTCTGTCTGTCTGTCTGTCTGTCTGTCTATCTATCTTGCAATACAGTCATTTATTTCTAAACATAATGCAAGGTAAAGTCAATACAGTATGTTTTAGTGCTATTTTAAGCATGTTTGATGAATATTGAGATAATATTGTGAATCACAATTGTTTCAGCTAGAATAATCGTGACATGACATTTTCATTTTGTCCCATTCCTGATGTAAATGTACTTTTGTTGAAACGACAGCCTCAAGCTCATCAAAGCCACTCAAAAGTCATGTTACAATGCCTGCATGCCGGGTGTCGTCCTGTAGGTAACAGTTGTCCCTTCCTGTAGGAACACGTATGGCAAAGAGTATGAGATGACGGCTCACACATTCCTAGACTCCCACAAAGCAGAGCAGGACAACAACCGCTGGACACTGTGCACCTCTAACCCAGCAGGGGAGGGCCTCGTCCTCCTCACCCACCCACAGCTAGGGGCCCCCAACAAGGTGTTCACACAGGCAGACCCTGGCATCTAACACAACCCACTCATCATTAAGATCGACTTCACTTTTACATTTTAAAATAAAGGTTGTTTTCACTTCTGTTTGAGTTGCTGATCTTTTCTTCTCAAGCAAAGTCATTTTGGGATGGACTCTGTGATTATATGATACGTTTTAGCCAGCCAACCACCAGGAGGCTTTGTAGCAAGAGGCATTTGATACGTTTCGTCAAACAGCACTATGATTGTTTTAGTTGGGCGATAGCATAAGAAACCCACTGTGATATCGGACAGTTGGATGATTTCCCATGCATTTGAAAATGTCCCTGAAATACATGATATAAGAGATATTGGTAGGGGGTGAAGTAGGGTTCTTTCATGGAAGAAGCAGTGAATTTTAGGAAAAGGGGAGCTAAAAGGTAAGTTATCATCTCCCTAATGCAGCCCTTTTTTTACAGGGTTTATTTTTTAACAAAGGGAAAGGATGAAGAATGTCTCTGCTTTTGCTGCAGTTATTCTCATGTAAATAATTAAATGCTTTGATCACAAAAGTAAAACAGGGATGAAACACAAATATAGATTCCTGATTGTCCTTCCATTGCTGTCTTGCACCTTTTCCCCAGGATTGTTAAGTAAAAGGTTCAAAGTAATCTTAGGGTTTAAACATGTGGCCTTTCACAGGTAAACTATAAAAACTACTGTAGGCACCTTCCTCTATAGATAACATGCCTAGATACAGATAATAGATAACCATCATTGCCTCTTGTCCAGGGTGCGTTCAAGTACATACGTTTTAACAACACTAATTTGCAACGTTTCACCACGATTTCAAAAATATTGTGTGACCTTTACACTTTTGACGAGGGCGTCATCAACAATGATTTAAAGGGGACGTCGTAGCCGCAAACAACCATTTGAGACGGCACATCAAACCGGCTCTTATCATTTGAAACGATTTTGGGCTGTTTTTCTTTTTTACAACAATGCGCTGAACGCGTCGGTGTCACGTTTCAGATGGAGACAATACTAAAGTGAGCAGCTACACGTGCAGCAGATGAGCGTGAGAGAGGACGCAGGCTCCACACAAAGGTAACGTTACGGTTCACCATTTGATGTATGGAGGTTATAAAAACGAATCATTGTTTCATTAAAATAGATAACATTCAGCTTATCTAGCCACTGTTGTGTTCTTATTATAATTATCATTATTCATTGTTGTAATCGCAATTATCTGTTAACGCGTGTGTGGTCCGTAGATTCAGTACTTTGCGTTTTTATTTCTGCCTGTATATGTTTATAATAAGCGCATTTATCTGAGCCGGCTTACAAATTATAAAATTAATATTCAATATATTGATACAATGTTAGGGTTTGTTTCTAATAAAGATGTCCCGTTCTGATTAATTATACGATATACCTCTCCGTGGCGTATGGCCTGTCCTCAAATCGCTAATGTCATATTATACCGTTATTAATAAAAGCAAAAGCCATTTAACCTCCTACACATATTACTTATTATTCTGTAAAACACCCATGTATGATGGTTCTTAGAAATCCAGATAATTAAGATATTATAAGGCTTAGTCATGGTCAATGGTTGCTTTAGGTCGATCTTTGTGTTGTCCTCTATAGATGGATCTGAACGTTTCCATTTACACCGTGCTACCAGAGAACTTAAAGACCACCCCAGTCCCTGTGTCACCTGCTGTGGTGAAACCGCACTGATAAATACACTAATACATGTCGACTACCTCCCTCATATAACATTACTGGTTACACAAGATCCCCTTGTAAAATAAAGTAGGCTATCTCTGTAAATCAAGAAGGTAAAACAGCTCCACATTTGCTTAGTAGGCTACATATTAGATTACATACAACACGAATTATCCAATATTAAAACACTCTGAAAGGACAGTTCTTCCTGCATAGTGATGAACAATAAATGTGAATGAATGCATTATGCAGGACTTGTATTGCAGTATATTACATTGTAGTTTTGCTTTTTTTATTTCAGTAAAAAGTCTGAATAATTGTGAACCTTGTGAACTCTATAACTGTTTTCAGAAGTCACAGTGAGATATTTAGCTGAATTGATTGGTATTGATTTACTTCTACAGAAGATTTGCAAATTCACATTGTTCATGATTAACAAACTACAAAGCATAAATTGCATTACTGACTGACTACACTCCTTGTATCATTAATAGCACTTGCATTCCTTATCGAATACATAGCTTTTTATTTGTCCTTTTTAATTCACACATGAGTTTACAAACTTATGCTTTACCACGTTTTCATTATTATTATTTATCAGAAAACATGACACATCATGATATATACTGTTAATAAGATATGATTGCAAAACATGCATTGTTTTAAAAATGATTTCTACGTTCATTGTGCCCTTTATTATTTTAACCAGTATAAGCAATATTGCCCAATCCTACTGTGTTTTATATGTTGTACTGTATGTCAGTTTAATTGATGCACGTTGCTTTGTTTAACCAGACAATCATGGCAGTGAATGTTCCTGGACTGGCGGCCGTGGTGGTTTTTTACATCGTCATCCTGGTTATTGGGATCTGGGCATCTCGAAAGTCCAAGAAAGTGGAGAAAACATGTGCTGGCACAAAAAGCGAGGTTGCCATTGTTGGTGGCCGCAACATCAGTGTCCTGGTCGGGGTTTTCACCATGACAGGTAAAACCTTTGTTTATATGCCTGTCATTTCATATTTCTTGATGTACTTATTGTGTGTGCTATGTTTCTACGTTGACAAATGATTTTCTTTTCTTTAGCAACATGGGTTGGTGGAGGTTACATCTTGGGAACTGCTGAGGCTGTTTATTCTCCGTCTCAAGGTCTCATCTGGGCCATGGGGCCTCCTGCATATCTTACCAATTTTGTTTTGGGTAAGTTCCCTCAACCAACAATAACACACAGCAGGGACAAAATGTTGGAGCAATTGTACACTAAAACAAGATTATTATATTGTTTATAAACATTTAGGGCTGCCCTTGAATAAAGAAATACTTAGTCCACTAACACTCAGATGATTTTGTCGACGAATGGATTAGTTCATGTAATTAGAACTGAGTTTCTCCATTTCAAATCATGCAAAATCACCCCTTAATGTTGTGTTTGCCAGAGATGTGCCCATACATCTTGGGAACAAGTCATTTCGCAAGAGAATGCAGCCCTAAGATTATCTGACATTTAACAAGGTTTTCTTCTTGTTTTGGGGAAATAGAAGATACCTGGGTTTGTTTTTTCATCCTCACAAGATGTGGTTCTTGAGTGTGCTTTTCAGTTGGTGTGAAAGTTTGTGGGTCATAGTTTTTGCTGATATTCTTCAACAGGAGTAAAGTCAAGAAGACACTTAGAGTAATACAAAATACGTCTAGAAATTAATGTGATTTGCACATGCTCAAAATACACCTGCTGATAAAACATTGGTGGCAGTTACGTGTATGTATGAAAAGCTGAACTTATACCCAAAACTTGTAGATTCCTGCCAGACTTAAAGCCTGTGCATGTAGAAAAAGCCTGGCCATGGACTCATCTAAAGACTGAGGCACTACTCAAATGAATTACAGACATATAGCAACCTTTCGTAACCCAACATTGGGTAGAAGTGTTTTGTAGAGAAGCAATGCATTACACCAATACACTACTACTCAGGCTATCAATTACGGTTGGAGTGAATGCCTGCCAAGCAAATTCCATGATGATCCTTTCATTGCTCAAGAAAGAAAATGGCAAAAAAAAATGATGTCAACCATGACGGCTAATATATGATCCATCCATGTATTGTGTCAATTCTAAAGTGTTACTTATACTTTCCTTAAATGATCAGTATTAGCCATGTAAAAAGGGTAATGCTACAATGATCGTTGAGGTTAGCATTTATAACTATAGTTTGATTTGGTCCAGGCAGGGAAGAGTACACGTTGTTCTTTAAGTTATTCATTTGTTGCCAGCAGCCCAAATGCACATAGCGCCAGGCTATTATGCAACAGCAATATTTTACCATCCAAGCTCTTTCATTCACTACAAAATGTCAGCAAGAAAAAAAATGAAAGAAGTTCTGCAGCCCTAAAATGTCATCTTACATTTTAATGTTTTAGCCAATAGTCCAAAATCTAAACACATTTACTTTACCATCATAGAAGAACACCAGAAAATACTCACATTTGAGCATGAACTGTTTTTTTTGCAGCTTTTGCTCAAAGAAGGGCTTAAATAATGTATTAATTATCAAAATTATTTCTTATGTTTCTCCATTGTTTGTGTTAAAACCTAATTTATTATAAACTCAGCTCCACTTTAATTCATTATATATATTTATAATGACAACGCACTTCAAGTTATGTTTCACTTCAACAGTTGTTTTGTCTGTTTACTCTTTGCTTCTTAAGGAGGATTGTTTTTTGCAAAACCTATGAGGTCAAAGCGCTACGTGACAATGTTAGACCCGTTTCAGCATCGCTATGGAAACATGCTCACTGCAACACTCCTGCTTCCTGCTTTGATGAGTGATATTTTGTGGGTTGCCTGCATTCTCGCTGCTCTGGGTAAGAAACGCATTGTACAAAACCAAGGCTATGACTCAGCCAAACTCTGTGACATTGCATGTTGTGTTTGTGTCTCTGAATACTGTCTTGTGTTATTTATAGGAGGAACGATGAGCGTCATTCTTGGTCTTTCATCTGCTCTCTCGATCGTTATCTCGGCAGGTGTCTCCATCACCTACACATTTCTAGGGGGATTCTACTCTGTGGCATATACTGACATCATCCAGCTGTCCTTCATCTTTGTCAGCCTGGTGAGAAATACAGAGGTTGCAGTAAAGTAGGGAGTGACAGATATTACTGAAAATAGGCAACAGGAGTAATGGGACTTAAAGGTAGGGTAGGTAAGTTTGAGAAACCGGCTCGAGATCGCTAGAATTTGAAAATACACAACCGGAGAAAATCTGCCACTTCCTTATAGAGCCCCTCCTCCAACACACACGAACGTGCACATGACCAATGAGGGCACGAGATAAGTTTGTGCACAGATGGAAGGCTGACAGGCAGGTAGGCCATCCAGTTATTTTAGCCGGGCCGGCTAAAATGATTGGTCGTGCTTTTTACAGTACTACGGCTTCCACAGATGACATTTTATGGATTTTTTGTCAAAGCACTTAAGATATTCATTGCTATCGGGATGTTAAGAGCATTCCATGGAATATAACAAAAAGTGTATCTCGAGCCGGTTTCTCAAACTTACCTACCCTACCTTTAAATAAGACAGATAACTGCATAGATAATCAAGTATGACACAAAGCGCAAGTAATTCAATAGATGACCTGTCCTGATTTTTGCAATAACGGCTGTTTTCTTCTGTTTCAGTGGCTCTGTATTCCTTTTTTGTTACTTAGTCCTGCAGTTGCTGACGTCTCACATACAATCAACCTGAACCAAACCATTGGAACCTCCTGGGTCGGAGAGTTGAAGTTGGAGGATGCAGGAAAATGGGCAGATGAGATGCTGTTATTGGTTAGATTCTAAATTAATTTTGTTTCACTGTTTATGTAGTGGAGATTAAAATAAAACATCCTTAAAATTATCACTGCACACATGCAACCACTGAATATACTGCATCTCTAGTTCAGGCTTCCCTCGCATCCATGACTTGAACTTGAATCATTGAAGTTATTCAGTCAAAGTAACATTTCTAGTTTAAAGTCACCATAATGTGTGTTTTCTGTTATGCAAGATTCTCTTATGTCTTTGTTTCTGCAGCTGATCATGTACAGCTCTGGTCAGGTACAAAGTCACCTGGAAATTGTTGAAATTAAAAGACCTGTTTTAGACAATGTGTACTTCTTATAGGAGGTTAAGCACATGTGCACTAAAACTACTGTATGGCATTCCAAAAAGTCCCTGAGGTGCAGCTTTGTCTGCAAACGTAGCCTACAAGCACTCTTAGCTGGGTAGCACAAAAAACACTACAACAACTAGTGAAATAGTCTACCTTGGCTGTTTTTACCTTAATCTATTGCTTTCATATTTACAACGTTTTTTGCATTCAGGTAACATCATCATTGTTATCACCCCCAGCATGCCACATGCCTACCCAGCATGCCACATGCCTGACTGCATTTCATTTCCTGTATAAATGCAGTCCCATTACATGTGACTGCCACCCAGTGTACAAAAAAGTGCATTACACCAAATAAACAGGCAAAAGAAAAGAATAGTTGGCTCTGCAGTACCTCACACTCTGGCCCATTTTTGTTGATGGCAGGCAGACACAAATGTTCCAAACAATGCAAACAAAGAGCCATCGAACACATAGTATTCTCAGTCTTAGTTCACTGTTGTTATATGAATGCCTGTAGTGTAGACTTCCAATCTAGAAGAACATAATCATCTGTCTGTCTGGTGCTTGTGTTTCCGAGTTGTTCTCTGATTGAACTTGTGTTTTTTGCGCATCTGTGTGTGTTTTAGGCTTTAGGCGGACTGGCCTATCAAGCTCTATACCAGAGGATCCTCTCTGCAGCCTCCTCTACTCAGGCTCAGGTCACCTGCTTCGCTGCTGCTGGATCTGTTTTTATTATGGGAATCCCCTCAGTTATCATTGGAGCAGTGGCTTCGACTGCAGGTACACATGAATGTGCTCACTCAGCTGTGCACACAGAGCACACACGCCAATCATAATAAATTATTTTTCTAACAGTAAGGTTGCATGTATGTGTGTGTAAAGAAATTCCTGGTTATTCTCAGCATATTAAACTAATTATAGTAGGACATTAGCTTGCTTTCAATTATTTTGCTTCCTTCTCCCCAATGCTTTTTTTCACCATAATCCTAAAAGCTTCTTCCCCTCCCATTATTCTTTTCCTCTCGACCCTGACTGTCTCTTTCTCTACCTCCTCTATCTGCTCCCCTTCTTTCTCTCTTTTTCTCTAAGACTGGAACCAGACAGCGTATGGTCTACCCCCTCCTTTTGAGCGAGGGGAGGCGGGGAAGATCCTGCCTCTGGCCCTGCAGCACCTCACCCCCACCTGGTTGTCAGTGTTAGGCATTGGCTCTGTGGCCGCAGCAGTTATGTCCTCAATGGACTCTGTGCTGCTGTCCTCAGCATCCATGTTTACACAAAACATATACAAGACGACTTTGAGGAAGCAGGTGTGTGTGAATTTGTGTGTGTTTGTGCGTGTGTGCATGGTTCAGCATCAATACAATTGAACAAACTCCATTTGGTTTTCGTCCCTTTCTCCTGTGTTATTGCAGGCCTCGGAGCGGGAGTTGCAGTGGGTGATCCGTATCAGCGTGCTGGTGGTTGGCCTGGCAGGAACAGGCCTGGCCTTTGGTGATGACAGCGTGTTCGGCCTCTGGCTGGTAAGCGGCGACCTCCTCTACTGCGTCCTCTTCCCGCAGCTCATCTGCGTGCTGCACTGCGGCTTTGCCAACAGTTACGGAGCCTTCAGTGGCTTCACAGTGGGACTGCTGCTGCGTGCGCTGAGTGGGGAGCCGCTGCTGGGGATCCCCGCTGTCATCCTGTACCCCGGCTGGAGGGAGGTGGACGGTGTCATCGTTCAGTACTTTCCCTTCAGGACTCTCGCCATGCTTGCCTCTTTGACAGGTGTTATTGCAGTTTCCTGGCTGGTGCAGTTAGGCTTTTATCACAAACTAATTCCTCAGTCCTGGGATTTACTGGGGGCGTTTGAAGAGAAAAAAAAGGCACAGGAGGAGGAAGTACCTGTTCCTTTGGAGGAAAAGAACAACATCCTTAATACAAAATTATAGTGTTAGTACAATCTCAGCCAAAGGATACCTAAACCTTTTTTTATGCAAAATTCCTACCAACATTCTTCTCTGCACAGACTATTTCCGCACAATCTTACATGTACTGTACACTTCACCTTTAATACTGATGTAAATGCTTTGTATTCACCAAGTTCTGAACAGCATTATGTGGAGAGTATTTCAAAGAGGCAGCTTATACGTGCTGGCTGTTAGTTTTTGACAGAACAGCTTTAAGGCTACATCCGCAGACCTCAAGATTCTGATGTTAATTTCAGAAGTCAAACTTTTCCACATTGTCCCAAAAAATAGCATTTTCCTTGTTTGTTTATCACAAGTAACACAAACATTTTTGTACTTTTTTAATGTAGACCCTTCCACTCAAACCTTTTCAGTCAATTAATCTCAACCCAGACAGTGTTATTTAAATGTTAATGAATTGTTGTACTTTTTAATTAGTTTTTTCTATTTGCATTTATTAAGCATTGACGGGCAATGCAACATCATTGGTGATGCAATACTTGAGGTGTGTTCCTCAGAAACAAAAAAGTCCACCAGTATGTGCCTGCTGGTAAAAGTGTTTACAATGATATCATGTTTTCAAGAGATTAGCATTGAACTAACAAATTACATAAATAGAAGTGATATTTTGTAGATGTTTTTGTTGATGGCAGGTGTTCATAACAAAACCACCTCTGTTTTATTATCTTTGAATCTGATGTATTTTTAATGTGCATTTGTGTGTAAACGTAAGAACAAACAAACATAAGCTTATTGTTATCTTAATCACTGTACACAGGGTCGTGTCAAGTGCCACAACTTTTGCATTTGTGTTTTCCTATAACATTAAATTACACCCCCCTGAAAGAAGTTGCCTGTTTTTGAAGCACTGATTTTACTTTTGGTTTCAGTATCATTTGACAATAAATGAAAAGTGCAATGTCACCTTTGCCTCAGCAGAGGGCGCCCACTAAACACTAAATGGACCTTACCTCACTGAATGGCACGGGATGGTGTTTCCAAAGAACTGCCTTTAACAGGGAATAGGAATACAATATAGATTAAAAAAAAAGCCAGCAGTCACTCAGGTCCATTTTAATTTAGAGGAGATATGTATTTAGTTTCTTACACTCCCCCAAATTCTCGCTTAATCTGAAAACATATCTCTCAAGTATTTCAAAAAACGCTTGTTTCATGAGTTTATAAAGCAAATGTACAATCTAACCCAACATAAAGTTATTAGTAATTTCTTAAAATTAAAAAATTCTCAAGTAGCTTTTATTCTCCTTTCACCATCTACTCCCGTCTTGTACTTAACAGACACATCAGATGTAGCCTATTTAAGCTTCAAGTGCCTTATGGAAATACATACGTGACTTTAAGTGGACTATTATAATGATGTTTGTCATTTTCTGGTAGTAACGAAAGTGAAGAAATAAACAATTCTCAGTATATTTATTTAGTTTGAATTAATATAAACTTTATCGAGAAGGCCATGATTAGAATTATTCATTCATTTGAATTGCTGAATTTTTCTTCTGATTATGATGCAATTATAAACGCGCTTTAATTTCGTCTTTTCGTTTACAATTATCAGCACGTAATAAAATGGTAAGGGAAAACCTACACTATACAAATTCAGGTGCGTTTAAATATGTTACAAAAATGATTTAGCTGTTTACCGAATACGAAAAACAGTTATGTGAATTGAAATACTGAACTCCATATTGTCTCTAAATCCACTTTTCATCACAAACCTGGCACCCAGGATCAAACAGCCTGAGAAGCGACGCCGTGCTGCCGCATCATGTCTGGGATGAATGGACCCTGAAGGCGGTCCTCTCCTCGAGCTCCATGTCACATTTCACTCTGAACCCCTCACAGTACAACCTATGGAACAACTCCAATGCACAAAATAAGACTTTCTGCTCCTGAAGGTTTCAACCTAGTCATGTTCACTTCAGTCAAGAGGTCCTATAATCAGAAGAAATTAATATGTAATCTTTATAAGGATAGTACTTGACAAAAGAAAGTATCCTCTATAGATCAAAAACAGCATTGAATGTAATACTTTAAGAGGGAACAGTTTGTAAAGTTGTCTAAGTAGTTGTAAAAGAGTATGTTCTTAATTATACTTTTTATATTACTTTTAATGTTGGAGTTAACATAATTAGGTTAAGATTATGATATAAAATCTCTCCATATAGATTACTCTATATTACTTTGTGTCAATTCAGTCTACTGACAATCTTGTATTAGATAGATAGATCTATCTATAATGTGATGTGAAAACTGATATGCACACATTTGGTTTGAATGTTATTAATGGAAACACATTTTAGTCTAACCCAATTTTTGTGTAAAAAAATCAAAATAGCTGGGTGCTAACATTGCTGTTGTCTAAAAGACAAATAGAGGGACTAATAGATGATTTCTGAAGGGAAACACGTACAGTGTGTCAAGTGCAACAAACTTTTGAACCGAAGGCCATATACTGTATGTATATCATATACTTTGAGCACTTTTGTTTATTTTTGATAATGACCTTGCACATGCTTTCTTTGAGATAAAGTTGATAAAACTAAGCTCATATGATTAATAAAACTGTTTGTGGACAACCAAACAACTAGAAAGATAAACTCTTACATTCATTATGAACAAAGCAAATCATTTACGTCTCTTGGAATCAAAGTTATCCAGTCAGCAGTTGTCTTGAAAGTAATCTCAGATAGCATACTCTGGTTGCATTTGATGATTTCATTTCATAACAATTCGATATTTTAACTCAATGAACTTTGCTACAGCAAGACCGGATGTAACATCTCCCTATTTTTGACTGTGTGTGAACAATACATAAATCATTACAGGCAAAACTTCTTAGTTTAAAAGTATACACATTATGTAAACGCAGGGACAAATTCATTAGCTATGGAGGGTACTCAGTATGTCTGTTAATGAGCACTGCATTTTTAGGAGTTATTTTTTCCCCTTCTCAGATTGTGAAGTGTCAAGTTATAAAACTAGTATTTCAGGAAAAACAAAAGGAAAAGATAAATGTTTGCGGGGGTGCAGCATGCTGTTTCCCAGACATGTGACCTTAAACAAACTCAAATAAGACACATTTGTGAAAAACTTTACAGACATCCACTTTCAAGTTTCTCCCACCAACTATTAGGAACTTGTCTTTTGGTCTGATAATTGCAGCCATTGATGTATACGGAAACATCTCTGGTTGATAATTGGGATTCATCCAGGGTTCTCCAGCAGAATAAATAATATAAATAATAATACAGAGGGCTATAAAGTATTACATTTACACAGGTTGGGAATGGATAAAGCTACCAGTATCCAACACCCCTACATGGTGCTTGAAGACAGTGCTGGAGGAGTAAGCTTCCTTTACTCAAGTTCTGTCCTTTGTTGCAATTTTGATTCTCTTGTAGCCTACTTTACTCAAATATTATACTTTTACTCCACTACACTTATTTGAACATTTAAGTTGCTTGATACTTTTTTAGAATCAAATTAATAATTTGGTTATAATCAACACATTATTTCTACAACAATCCAATAATAGTATAGTTTACATTTAATTGTAAAATGGGCTATTCTGCTAAATAGCCTAAGTTATTTTGTTAGCATTTTTGATGCACATCATTTTGTAAATTACTGAAGTAAATTGTAATGCTTGTAACTGAGTTTTTCTGCTGTATGGCAGATATATTTATTTTTGTTTTAACTGAATTAAAACATCAGGCGAGGATGTTTCCCCCCCAGACCCCCCGGGGTTGCTGTTTTTCAACGCGGCCCTGAACGTCTTGTAGGAGGTGTAGAGAGATTTGTGAATCCCCGGGTCCGGATCCACTCCGGGTTTTCCCGCCTCCTCCCGGCCACCTTACCGTAGCACTGAGCGTTCTGTGTGAGGAGCCGACTCTTGTTTACAGCAGGATTCCACGGAGGAGCGGAGACCCACAGCCTGCGTTCACCGAGGGCGAGGATTTCAGCCCCTGGATATACACGCTACGGGAGTTTTTGTTTTCTCTCCTTTATGAGGATAAAGGCGACACACGAAACACTCGTAAAGGGCAACTCCTTGTGGACACATTCTCCCTCCCACCCCAGCCGAGGTCGTCTAGCTGGAGAGCCATTCTCCTGCGTGGCACAAGTCTGCTGTTTTCTTTCAGCTGCAAATCCCGACTGACGGCGGAGATAAGTCCGACCCGAGGAGCTGGAAAATTGGTTTAAAAAGCGACTTCTCACCGCGAGCCAGGACTGCTTGGTGTGGATAGAGAACTTGTGTTGGTTGAATGGCATAAGCAAAAAAAGGTTTTTCATTCATTTTCCAACCTCGCAGCCACCACCCCTGTGGATCTGGACGTGTTTTCTGCCCCATACCTCCCCTCACACACTCAATCACACGGGGGATTATTGAGAGCGACACTGGCGTAAATGTATTATGGTGTCAATGGCTGCCAATAATAACATTTAGCCTGGCATTTTGAAATTGTTATTACCAGGCCTGATCGCACTGTACGCGCACTGCTGTTTTCAAGAGATGGAGACTGAAGATGGGGATTACCATCATTTATCCAGGAAAATCACTGGCGTGTGTGCCATACCAGCCGACGTCAAAGTACCCTGTGACTGGCAAAAATAGCAGACCGTTTTAGTATTTTTTTTCTCCATAGGAATTCCCTGTCATAACGTGGTGTACACATTTATTTATATATTTTTAGAGCAAATCCTGGAAGCCACGCATTTGCAGGCTACCACGGTGTAGCCTTTTTGGGCTACAAACATTTATTGCTCCTCTTTTTCATTAATTTTTTTAAAGAAGCCAACGTGTACAACCTTCTTTATTGTATTTTATTTTGTATCCCTGCATTTTTTTTATTTTGTTTGAGGAGTGAATAATGTTAAGGAACATGAGATCTGACACACGGATGGGTAGCCCGACCTTGTTTTGGGGTCTGATGCTCTCTGTGTCCACTATCTGCATCTGGTCCACACATGGAGAGAGTAAGTCCTTTTTTATTATTATTATATTTTGTTGATTTCTAACAGGGAATGCCTTAATATGCTACACAATGGGTCTTTTGTAGCCAAGCTTAACCTCTTGTACAGCAGGATTTGGATGAATGCTTTAGGAAGAATAACGAGTTATAATGTATTTATTTTAGCAAAAATAAGTGGGAAACTTTTTATACTAGAACATAGGCACTCACTACGAGAATCCCAGGGATCATGGAGCTCCCCTACGTGTGCTATTTACTCACATATTAGCTGAGGACCATGTGGTGTAGCTGCCCGTCAGTAGGTGAACACATTTAAGCGAATTTTCTTTACGGTTGTCAGTATCACCTCATTTCACAAAGCAGTTTAGTTTATTCAGAAACAGTCGGAGGAACGAAGCACACGTCGCCTTAATCTCCACGTTAGACACCCAGAGAGCAGGGGATGAATGTAGGGACCGGAGCTGAAGGTTACTACGACCATGTGGCCATTTTGCATTTCGTGGTGTGGCGTCGCTGTGTATGAAAAACCTAAATCAGACACAAACATTTGCTTGGCCATACAGTTAAAACACACTAACAAAATAACATAGCTTACTTAAGCCGAACACCTTCATTAACGGTCACCAAAACAAAACACCATTTAAATTGTAGGAGGTGATAAGGTATCTTCAGAGAACATTCTCAGTTAACTGCATAGTACCCTGTGTGAAGCTATGTAGTGACAAATAAAGTTAACATTCAGGAGTTCAGACCAGTCAGACCCAGTCCTAACTCCATGCTCTCACACTGATGAAATGACACTTTGTGTAAGACACGTCATAACTTTACAATTTTGTCTCCGAACAGTTTCTGGACAAGCTTATTAAACCCCCTACATTTCTCTGTTGTGCTTATTTGAGTGGTTTAGTAACCAACTATATAGACATATTTTTTTATGTAACTCCCTAACATGTAACTGCTTTTTATGATTAATGTCTTGCTTCTACTCAGTTCAGTATCCTTGCTTTGATTTTAAATGTTTTGAAATACAGAATTTGCTCATCACTGCTTCATCAAAAATGTTTTTCTTACAGTCTAGTTATAATAATGTTATTGATAGAGATGGAATCAAGACAGCTTTTGGCTATTTCTTGTAGAATAACTGGGTATTAATAAGGGCCAAAGAGGGCTGCTTCTCTTTTTATTTCTTATTGCCTATACAGCTCTTTGAAAAGTTATCTGTAACTGTAATATAATAAAACAAGCCTAATCTGTCTAAAAAATAATTAGGCCAAAAGTAACTTAATTAAATAGATAAATTAACCAATTTCTGCATTTTGTCTGATGTTTATCATAAAGTAATACAAAAATATGAGAAGTTATATGAATTTTCTTATTTTTAACAGGTTTATTGTAACAAAAAAAAAGTACACTTTTAATTTATAACATTGTTATTTGTTTTGCTTGTTGCATTTCTGTAGAGAATCAATATTTTTAGACCACTTCCACTTTAAATCTACGTCAATCGTCACCCTTGAAGTATGGGTTATTATTGTGCTCAAGCCAGAAGTTCAGCCTGTGCCTGCTGGTTGATTGTCTGCGTAACTAAGGTGACATGGCAGGATTTGTTTATGTATATATATATATAGGTTTGTTTTTAGGGTACTAGGTCACTCATAATTTGTCTGATATGTGTGATGATGCATGTAGACAACTTGACATGAGAAGGAGACTTGTAGTCTGACCTCTATTAGCATTCAAATAGAGAAGAAAAAACGTTTTCAGGCCTATTGACCAGTGGTCCACCCACAGCCATGTGGGGGTGCGTTTCTGTGCACCCTTCTGAGCCGGAGAGACACCCATGAACGCAGCAGGGGGCTGGGAGACAAGTGGCTGCTCTCAGATCCCGATGCTCTGTGGTGTAAAACACATCAGACCTTCCACAACAAAGCGTTCAGCAAACAAAGACTGGCGAATATCAAGATGGTCTCACCAGTTTATCACTCAGAGATTATGTTTACTTCACCAGAATTTCCAGCTTTTATCATCACTTAGTGGAAAATCACAGATATCCATTAGGGGGTTGAACCTTTTTTTCTTCTCTCCCTGTTCATTTTGATGATCTGTCAACGGCAAAAAAAAAAAAGTAATTAAGTTCCCTTTTAACTCTCACCACAGTAAACTTTCCATGCCATGGCTTGCAAGTATGCAGCAAACAAGTCTCTAAAAGGGAGAGAGAGCACAGGGGAGATAGAGACTTGGTGTTTGGAAATAGAGTGTGCACAAATACACATGCAAGAGAAACAGACTTGGTTTTGTTGATTGGAAGAGTAGAGAGTTTGTGAACTGTTTTATTGGCTTTTGCTGTCTCTAGTACGGACCAATGCGCTTAACTTCATGACTTGGCACCAATACTACAAGGGTTATAAATAGATATGTCACCAACAACATTGGCTCAGGGTTGTGTGAGTACAGGCACCCTCTGTCCCGTTCCATGAGGGCACACCACTGTTCTTGTTAACTTATTTATTAAGGGACATGTTGCTCCGGAAAACTTGAATGGTGGCATAAATAATCAAACGTCAGCGAGCATTGTGTTTGACAGGCACCCCCCCCCCTTACGTCTCCCTTTGGGGTATGTTGCAGTGCAGCTCTCCTAGTCGTGACAGAGCAAGTGGCTCAGATATGACTGCTGTCACTACTCCAAGGTGCCCCACTCCATCTTGTGACCGGGGCTACACGGTAACACACACACTCCTCCCCCCCAAACCCCTCCACTATAAGTTCCCTTCCCCCCGTCCCTGGCTCGGCTGGATGCAGGAATGCCTTGTCTCACCCCCTGCGAAAAGTGTAGTGAGTGTTCATAGCCCTATGGTGTGTTTTTTTGTGTTCATGCATGTGCGTTCATTGTGCATCTCAGTGTGTGCTGCAGCAGGACTCAGCGTGACAGCCTGAGTCAGTGGCCCTGTGTTAGGATGTGAAAGTGTGTCACTGGGCTAGTTTGTGCAGTCGAATGCTGTCCTGCAGCTCCTCCATGCTGCCAGCTGAGGTTTACAATGCTTAATTAAACACTTTATTTCAAGTGGCCCGTCATTGGATTTGCTCAAACACAGTCTCTGGCCAACCGCACATACATCATGGGCTGGTTTAATGGCCCATGGAGTATTGTACAGTTTGTGAGATGAGTGCAAATGTTAGCTCTTCTAATGGATTGCTGTGTATGACTTGAAAGCTGATCATCAAGAACTGAATGTGGATCCGTCCCGAGTGGAGGCCAAATAATATTCCTCAGGTGTTTTCAGAATCTTAGCGAGAAACCTTTTCATAGTTTCATTTTAATTGTTCGCTCATAACTTGATTATTTGGATTGTTGTACTGAAAATAAAAATGTGGCCATAAACTGAGGTTCATGTTGTATATGCATGGAATTGTATAGCACAGGTGCATAGAATATATAAAAGGCTAGAGCTTCACATTACACCTTAGAGAGAACATCTAGAATAATGCTTGATTATTTACTTTACTTTGTTTTCTTTTATGGATTTCATTCCTATGTAAGAGAGGCCATGGATTGAAGCTCAGAGCAACTTGTTTTTCTTTTCCCAAACAGCTGCAGTGGTAGGAAAAATATTTTTGGGTTGACTCCAAAAAAGGATTTTATGCTACAACGCAAGAATTAAAGTAGTAAATTCATCACCATTTAATTTTAAATGCTAATAAAATACCTCGATTTTCCTTCTCTTATTTTGTCAGTTTCCTGCAGGCTTCCACACATCCTTCCAGCCATTAACCTGTAATAAAAATCACAACAAACCATATTTTACTGTAATCCAACAGTAAAATAGGTTGTGTTGTTTATAGTGAACAGGCTATAGTGTGCATGTACACATGGAGTATTTCACCTCCTGCCCTCTCCCCTTATTTTGGGAGAGGGGGAGTCTTTGTGTGAGAGTTGTTATGATGGAGAGTGTAGTGTTACTGTTTGGGGTTTTGGTGAAATCTGAGCCACAGTGTTTGAAGTAAGGTCCACTGAGGGGAAGTGGCCACCAGACCGCTGGTCAGATGACTTCCAGTATGCCGGGGATTAGGGCCAGTTGATGTGGCAGGTGTGAAGGGATATGACCGCACGGTGACCAGCGTCCTCACTGCAGGAACTACCACCGGGTTTCAGTTAGAACATTCTGATTATTATGGTTCAGTGTAGGGAATTCTTAGCTGTGTAACCTTTTGTTTGTTAACTTTTGTTTAAGCACAATGCAACTCTTAGAAGTAAAAGTCAATGTTTTGTCATTGACTGGAAAGAGCCAAATGTTAGATTGAAAAATCTAACCTAATAAAAATAGAAAGATGTAGCCTATACATTAGAACATTTTAATGTGCTGATAAAAATCATTCTTTCTCAATATTTATTACTGATTTAATGTTTAAGAAAGTTGATACCAAACCAAATATATGACATTTCAATGCTTTCTTTTTTACATTTAAAATGCATACTTTAAAAACAATTCTTCATCCGTCACATTTTATTTGTTAAACATTTCTTAATTTTGCCCAGAATTCAGTTTTATTTTATTTATTGTTGTTTTTAACAACTACATTATGAATTAGGTCTCAACTTCAATGTAGTAGGAGTTGAAATAAAGGTTGAATGAAAGATGCATAATATATTTAGAGTACATCTTGACCAGAAATCTTTGTTTGTTCAGTTTGAGGTCAAGTAGAACACACTGTGCAGACAGTCTTTTACACAGACAAAGACATATTTGTTTGATATTTGTTAAACACATAACATTTTTTAAAGAAAATAATGTTTAAAAGATACCCAGTATATTGATTAAAAATCTAAATGCTAAAGAATACAAATCCTTTTTTTCAGTAGAAACACTTATTCTAAATGCGTTCTACAATAATCAGTATTGTACATATACATTAACAGATCTCCAACTATCAGAGGAGTCTGCCTAATAACCTTTTCTGGAAGTTACAGTAAATCGTATCGGACGGAATACAATTATGCGCTTTTTC